GTGCGTGCGTGCGTGCGTGCGTGCGTGCGTGCGTGCGTGCGTGCGTGCGTCTTTAGGTGTGCGTCAGGAGTCTTGCTTTTCTAACGTAACTCTTGCGTCTTAGCGGGGAATTTAATTAACTTTCGATGGTTGAGGCGTTCCATTTCTTTTTGTTTTTTTTTGGGGGGGAGGCGAATTGAGTTGCGGAAAATGTAAATAACCGAGCTATGCAAGCGCCCGAGGACCAACAGCAACAACAATGTATTATCGAACACGAGAAGCGAGTCGACTCCGTGGATCATTGCGAGGAGAAGGAAACCCATTGTACGATTGACCAGCGTGCGGCGCCTGCAAGGACTAAACGCGAGTGTACACAGCGGCGAGTGCCGGTTTGATTTGTATAGTAGAGATAATAATTACGGTTGTAAGTTAAGGATTTTTATTATGATGATACACGAGCTAACGACGTCCGCTGTATCCCGATAGAAAAAGAGGGAGCGAGAAAAAGAGAGAAAATGGGGCATAGAAGGAAAGAGAAAGAGAGAGAGGGAGAGAAAAAGAAACTGAAAGACGAGGAAACAAACTAAAAGAAGAAACGTGCATAATCGGGAGGCTTAGAAATTTCGTTACGGTGCCATACGGCTTGGCGACAAGAGGAAACAAAAGAACGAGAAAATAGGAAAGAAACGATGTCTTAGAAACCGTGTTAGCTATTATTAACGCGTCATCGCCGTCTGTGTTCTTTCCAAAGTATCTCCGCGAGGCATCGCGTCGTGCGAAACGATACTCGTCGGAACGAAGAGCCGGTCGCAGCGACAGCAGATCGTCGGCTGATTACGGTTAACTGGATTCTCCTTTTTTTTCACGGGCCGGGCTTGTAAATTAGTTAATTAAGATAAAATGAGTTTCTACACTGATGGCTTTCCTATGGACGGAGTCTGTAGTGGGAACTTCTCTCCGATTCTGCAGCATCTAGTGAGATACGGGTGTTTCAAAGAATGTAGAAGAGTTCCGGGACTTCTCTCTTTCTGAAAGAAGAAAGAGGGAAATTGATTGAGCTTCACACACTCGTAACTTTAACCGAAGCTGTCGATGAAAACGGCCTTTACGTAGATGATAATTAAGTCTAGGAAGAAAACTAACAGGAGATCTGTAGCTAGGACCAATTAAGCAGAGTTTGTCGGTACCTATGTCCATCGTGTTTAATTAAATAGCAGTTGACTGAATCCTCCCCCTTTTTCTACTTCTTTGTATTACAGCCCTCTGCCTGGATAAGAGACGGAGAATCGGGCTAACCGAAGTTGGCTAGCCATAGCTATCGGTGTAATTGATCCCGAGAACTCAGCGAGACGTCCCTTAAAATGGTGCTCCCCCTGTTCCATCCATCCTTTTGGTTTGGCGAGAGCGAGCGAGAAGCTGTCGATGGCAATTGGAAGTATGAGAAAGAGAGAGAGAGAGGGAGTGCACATTGAAACGGAAAGGAACACCATCCGATATACTGCCCCGTGCCTTCTTCGCGGTTTCGGTCCTCTTTAAAGGCGAAACTGGAAGAAACCTGACAATGCGAGAGAGCGAAAGCGCGAGAGAATGAAAGAGAGAGAGAGAGAGAGAGAGAGCATGAGAGAGTGATAGAGAGGAAGGAGCAAAGGAAGAACTTGTTACAGCATATTTTATTATTGTTTAGTTATTTACAATCTGTATATTATTAATTAATATTACGATTAAAAGTATTTTGTAGATAATACCGCGGCTCTTTCATAAACGTTTCTACGGCCATCGACTGCGTGACTGCATATTCAAGCTCGATCTTTCACGGTCGATCGCTCTCCCATCGACCGTCGTTCGAAAGAGAGCGATCTCTCTTTTATACGTCGTCTTCTGTATCGGTTTGTGAGGCTTTTCCTACGATCGATGGCTCAAAAGCCGCCCCCGTTCTCGATCGATCACGGGCAAGCGTGTTTTTCTTATTTGTATAACTCGTCTCGTAGAACCAATCGGAGATCTCCTATATGACTGCTCGTCGACAATCGTACGCTGCCAACGTTCTCGTGACAGAGAATAAATTTCGAATCGTTGGATTAAGTACGAAATTAAAATACGGTGAACGGTCTAGTCGCGTCGTCTGGTTGCCTTGTAACGGGACTGTTTCACTTCACCTGAATGAAAATTTTGACGCTTTTGATATTGAAAACCGAGGGAAAAAGGACGAATGCGTGCGATCGATCTGTCAGTTGGCGAAGAAAAATTAACTTCTCTCATAACACACGCAAGGATTGCGGGCTCATTCGAGACTAATGACATGGTAAAAAATTGTGCGTTAAAAACGGCCCGCTGAAATTGGTGTACTTTTCAACAAATTCCTATTGTTAAAATTAACAAAAAATTTCAGCGGATCGTTTTTAACGCCAAATTTTTTTACTATGGACGAACGAATTAAGGGCGCGAGTAATTGTCCCACCGTAAAACCGCCGATCTTCGATTGATGATTCTTCTCTTCTCTTCTCTTTTAGATTCACTAGAATTTTGGAAACTTTGAGATTTCACTGAGATTCACTTAGAACGAAGTGGAAAGAGATGCAACGGTCGATGTTACTTTTCAGATCACCGCGATTTTGCCGAGCGTTCGACGAGCGATCGAGCTAACGAGAGAGAAAAGCTGTTTCTCGCTTGAACAGCTCTTTTCTTCCGCTAATGTTAATCGGAGGATAAGAAGCGCCGAGGATCCGAGAAGTCGTTACGAATGACAACAAGCCTCGCACAAGTACAACTCTTAGACCTTGAGATTTTTTATTTCTGCTACAATTGAAATCTTGTGTGTGTGAATGAGATCGTGTGAGACCGACATGCAGAAAAACAACCGCGATGATGCAAGAACCGAGTAATCCATATACCGACGAGTAATTTTGATTTCGAGTTCCGGGTCGAGTTTTCTTCCTCCTCCGTTTTTTTTCCTCTCTCTTTTTAGGGAGGTTTTCCCCTTTCTTTTCTCCTTCTATACTGTAACGAGGAAACTCCGTGAATCCGGGCGGCCGCTCGGGGTAGTATTCGGGTATTCGATTACGTTCTCACAGTTCGCTACATATGGACTAATCGCTTTTTGCATTTGCACTAAACCGCTTATTTGGATATGTGACGCGTTCTTCGTTCTCCACGGTCGTTGCACTCCTCCGCCGCTCGGCTCTTTCCACTTTCCCTCGACGGGCGTTGCGTTGTTCCACGGGAACGGTGTAATGCGGTATCGGCGTCGCTCGCGCGGACAAGAAACGTCTTGCCGTCTCTCGGCCGAATCTGAAGCGTGCCATAATCGATGATCGACGTCTCTAAGCGGCGCATTCGCCGGAACTCCGGGAGGGAGAGACGGCTTCTTCTATCTGACGGATCTAGAGCCCTACCGAAGCGAGGATCGATCCGCGCATCCGGATCCATCTGCGGACCCACGAGTTATCTATGGATGGAGATCGATTGGATTGAACAAAAATCCCCTCCTCTTCGCTTATGCGCGGATTAAACTGCAACCTCTCGTGTTTACGGGATATCAACATTGTTTACATCGACGCACGCACACGCGAGTCACTTACACTGGTGGTACGACCGGAAAACGAAGCGCTTCCAAACACCATGGAATCTCGAGATACGGCAATATATATATATATATGTAATAATCTGATATAAATCTTCGTTATATGTACAACAGAGAGAAAGGATATCCGCTCTCGCTAGGATACGCTATTACTTTTTAAAGGCGATAATCGATACATTCGTAGACACATGCATGCATGTCGCGGGGACATAATCTGAGCTTACGGGGCCGAGTAGTACAGACGAGGAGAGATAGAGAGAGGGATACGAAAACGAAGGGTCGTTGCTTGCTCGGTTTTTAAACGCGATACGCGAATCTCTACTTCCACGGTGGTCAACGACGAAGCTGTAAAAACTCTTGGAAATCCCGGGGAGGGGGAGAGATCTTCCGTTCGCTCTCCTCCCCGTAACTAAAGGTGGAGCACGATTCCACCTGTTTAACGAAGCTGATCGTCGCAACGTCTTTTTTTTGTAGGAGTTCTCGAGCATGCACACCGCGGTTTCACACGCGATCGTTCCTCTGTCCTCGACGATTTCCTCTCTCCGAGGGCTTAGCCGCTGTCGTCGTCCTTAAAAGAAAAAGATCTTTCATCCTTTTTCTCCGTCCTCAACGAAGAATCTTTCTTCTCGTCTCTTTCGAAGAAAGTTTCTTCGCCTTTTCCGGTTCCTCCTTTTTCTTCTTCTCCTCCTTCTTCTTCTTCTTCTCTTGCATTCTGGCGTCTCCAGTCATTCGTGGTGCTCCGCTCGGAGTTCAGTTTCCGACGAGACTGCGCAGTCTCGTGGCGAAGGATTATTTTCTCACAAGAGCGACCAGACCGCGATTCAGGTGCGTCAGCTTCGGTTTCATCGACAACTTCGTCGGAGCTGCTGAGGACTGCTGATGGTTCCGATTTGTCGGCTGCTGCATACTCTGCTTCTTCTTGAACGACTCTTGCTTGGCACCGCTGTATAAAAGAATTTATTACATTTTTACGTTTTTCCTCTCGCGATATACCGCGCAAGAATCTGTGACAATACAACGGAAATATATAAATATATATATATATATATATTATATTTTTGTTGTTTGTGTCCATTCATTGAATTGCTTCGCAAGAAATGTGGCGGGTGTTACGTAATTATTTTTAATATCTAATTAAATAAACAAGCTAATTGAAGAAAGTTGCTTCCTAAGATGTTCTTCGTTGATTTAATGCGAGATATTGGCTAATGACGCGAATGAATTACATAAAAAAACTGATGAATAATTAAAACTGTAGACAAGATTTCAGGAAACATTAAGCACCGATAAACCGTCCTTATAGAAGAAAAAAGAACCGTCCTCGAAAGAACTCACAGGTATCGAGTGAGATCTTCAACGTCGACGAGCATCGAATCTTGCTCCATGTGCAGATCGTCCCTCCTCAGGAGGCCTTCAACGAGCGCTTCGTTTAACGCGGCGATCCTTGCGTGCAAATCGTTCGCCACTACTTGCAGCTGCGCGACGTTCAGCTCCGTGAGGAGCACTCGGGACAACCTGCGTCTGTCTTCGCCCAGCTGAACACCGACCTGAGAAGTGCAAGTTCCACAAGTGACTTTTAAGCTCGCCACAATAAAGAGAGAGTCCTAACAATCAGAAGCTTTCTATCAAGAGCCTCGCGAAAAGAAAGACTCCGGCGAGTGAAAACATTGCCGCGTTACGTCGATCCTACCCAGTAAGCAAAAAATTATCAATCAGAACGTTGTTACAATTATATTTTATAACACGTAACCGTTTTCAAATATGTTCTTTATGTCAGACAATGTTATTGTTAACAATATTTTACCCAAATCTCTCTCTCTCTCTCTCTCTCTTTCTAAACTCTTTTGTTTAAATAAAATAAATAAATGCTTTCATGCAAAACTACAGATTTAAGAAAATGTATATTTTCTCATCTGAAAAAAATTTTTCTCAGTCTAAAAATATACCAATATAAGTAAAGATACGTTATTAGTACTCATCGAAGACATATTTTATATCCTTTATATATTTTTTCCCCTCAATGTATCCAGTTACAGAAGCTGAGGTTTCTTTTGCACCGGGGGACTCTTCACCTACCTTCTCCAAGCTGCATCGTACCATCTCAGTGATGGGGCTCTGCTTCAGCCTCTGCCTTTCCACTTCCATCTGCATGTGCGCCATCTCCTTGGCCTGCGCCAGGGCCATTCGCGCTTCGGTCTGCAATCTGGCCTGCCGCGCGAAGAAGTCCGCCTCATCGACCGGCGTGGAATTCGGGCCTGTGTCGAGTCTCAAGGACGGCAAACTCAACACCTGCGGCCTTGATGGCGCCTGCTGCTTTCCGAGCTGCTTCGAGCCGAGGGATGTGGGCGTAGAGCCGGGAGACGCGTCGTCCGAACCCGGGGACTCAGTGTCCGATAAGGTCTCGTTCATGAAGCAAATCTGCAGGTTCATTCCTGCAAAGACGAGACAAGTGTTTCCTTAGAATTCGTCGTCCGACATTCTGATCGGAACGAGCGAAATCAGTCCACCGATTGTCCAAGTCATGGATTTAACACGTTCCACGCCACGTGTACCACGTGGCACAGGCTGAACTTCCCATTCAAACCAGATTTTCTCAGGTGGAATAGAAAATTACGATGACGTCACAATGATGCGAACATAACTATAACAACTCATTTTTCAATCATGATTCAATTATTTTCTCGTCACTTTGACGTTATCGCGATTTTCTGTTCTACCTGGGTGCCTCAGTTCCATTAAAACCAGTCTAATATTTCGGCTTCAAAACGAAATATAATCATGGAATAAAATATTTTGATAATTTTTACGAGACACGTGTTATTTGACAAATAAAATTTGAATTAAGTAAGACTCTTGGAAAATAACAAAACCCTGAAAAAATGTCTTATATAATTAAATATAGAATATGTCCACGTATGAATAAATAAATAAATAAATATAAATATATTTTTATTTATTTATTTATTTATTTATATACATGTATTTATATTTATATATATAGATATATTCTATATGTGACACCTTATATATAATTATATTTAATTTATTATGGAAAATTTTTTCCCGGAAAACGAATGTTGTAATGCAATTTAAATATTAATGTCGTATGTTAATATCATCATTATTCATATATTATAATGGAAGAATAAAATTGTCCAGCGTATGACTGTACGTATGTATGTATGTATGTGCTGAGTATTCTCCAGACAATTTATATACGTGATGAATCCGCTTTCCACACTTAACCGATCTTAAGCCCCAGAAATATCATATCAATTTTAATTCCTTTGGAAAACCCTTCATCCCAATTGCTACGCGAATTAGTAAGCAATTCTTAAATCATATTGCGAAAAATATTGCCTCAGCCAGGAGTCAGGTCAGGATTTTCCCACTTTTCGAGCGGGATGCCTTACTTATTCGGCCACCGAAGCAAACAAAGTTTGCCTCACACACAGAACAATGTGGACCACCACCGGTCCACGAGGGGTCACGTCAAATTAGCTCGGCGCGAAACGTGTTGATAGAATCCCGGCAGAAAATAGCGAGAATGTAGGCGAAGCGAGAGCGTGAGAGTAAAAACGAGAGAAAGTCATACTTCCGCGTACGCGTTGCTCATTAATGATTCGGCGAACTGTCACTTTAATAGCCGAACATTTTACAGTCACGATGCGTTCGTACGCTCGGCCTGTGCGCTGTTTCGCGTCTCTTCGTGTTGCGGCTAGCCGGTGCGCTAACGGGAGAAACGGTGGGAAATAATATTCCGATCGATACGCACCACTTTGAAGACGCGACTGAAGACTTGGCTTTCGTCCACGCTCGGCGCGCAGGTCCTCGGCATCGGGACCCATTGCGAGTCTCCTCCTAATTTCCTCCCGGTCGTTCCGTCGCTGCGAACAGAGGCGTTCAAAGGGAGAAGCTTAATATTCGTGGCATTTAAGGAATGACCGATACGAGATTCAAGAATCGTGGAATCCGTCGAAACTAAGCCGAAAGATACGAAGAATCTCACACGGGGGGGGGAAGAACTCGGCAACAGAAAGATAGGGGAAAATTCCGCGATAGGACAGAGACTAGATGAAAACTCGGTGACAAGAAGGGATAACTCGGCGAACGAGAAGTGATATCTCTGTTACTGCGACTGAGAATCACTCATTCGTGTGAACATTCAGCCGCATTAAAACTCGGTTGAGGCAACTGAAAATAATTGACTGAGTAGAAACCTCCCGCAGGAATCTTTCTGTTCCCGCAGCCGAATTTTCGTCTGGTCCCCAGGCAAAACACCATTTTAAATAAATCACGATTAAGTATCACGAATTCCTTGAGATAATCTCGATATCGCTAAACTTTTCACGCATGTTTCCTTTTTTCTTCCCCACCCCCTCTCTCTCTCTCTCTTTCACATCTTCATCGTATCGAATCACACCTGTAGATTATCATCGAATTCGCCACGTATGATCCTGTCGAATCGCGTGATCAAATCTTCCCTTTCTCCTTCCTTCGTTTCTTTCGGCCACTCGATTGCCACACTCGCTTCCGGTGGCTTATCCGTTTCCCTGGCAGCTTCTTTGTCGTCATCCTGATGCCGCACAAATTACCACTTTTCACTTTCGTGCAACGTAATACACGGCGACGGTGTTACTTTACACTCTCGCGAAGGGCGACGTACGTTCGCGAATCCAAGATGCATCAAACGTAAGTCGTGACAGCCAAAGGCAGTGTTTTCTAAATCTTTTACCTCTCGTGAAAATTTCATAGAACAGCAACCGAGAAAATCCGAACTCAACACACCGTGAATTTTAACATTCCGTTCACGTGAAATCACACCAACGACATCAATTTATCTTGCCTCACCAAACTGTTTTGGACTCGCATTTAATAATTCACAAATGTCCAAAATGGACATGAGACGTCTTATAGACGTCTTGAAGACGTCGTGTTTAAAGTGTCGTGATATTAGACGTCCTTAAGATGTTCTTACGACGTGTAAGAAACATCTTATGTCCTGATTTTGGACATTACGCTGTCCGGGTTGTTGCTTGAAACTTGCCTCAAGTGAGACACTCTGATTTTAATTCAGAGGTGGATGCGAGTTTTTCAATTGAATCACACTTACAAATGCAATATTGTTACGTGATTCAAATAAAAGCCTCAAGTTTAATTCTAAATTCAGACCTGAGTAATTTCATGCGTGATCAGTTTCAAGTGACGATTGTTAACACGGAGCTTAGATTTTTATCTGTTATCTTGCAAGGATGCGGCTTCAATGACGAGTACTTCGAGTGTCTGTGTGTACTTTCGAAAGGCTCCGAATCCGTGAGCTCGAATTTACAGACAGGACCTCGTGGTCGCAGCTGGCGGTGTTGCATCAACGGTGCAATTGCTTCCACGCACGCACACGCGCTAAAATCTGCTTGTTCATTAACACGGTAACTTCCGCGACCCACTTTCACGCCCGCGTCGGTCCGGAACCGTACCGAATCGTCTGGGTCGTCGACCTTCCTATCGGAAGGACAACAGAAGGAGCCAGAATACTGATCGAAATCGCCGGGCCTGATATCAGACGTAACGAAATGAACTGTACTTCGCACGTGCGCTCACGTCACGTGTGAGCGCGACTGGTTGAGAAGCGACACACGCGTGAAACTTTAATATATTCTGTGAACACGCAATTAAATTCATTCGATCGATTCGTTCGATCGGTAATAATAATTAATTTCCAAGATGTATGTAATGGGAAGATTTAATTAATAAATAACGGGAGGCTCCGTAATATGTAATTAGTAAATTCTAGATTGACCTCTTTCCTGCGCGAGTCATTCTGACCGTTTATAATATTATGTTTGACATTTTCTACGTGTTAGATATATAATATATACAGTATATACATAATATATAATATAATATATATATATATAATATATAATATATAAGACATCAGAGGGATCGCCATATTCAGAGTGAGAACACTCAGAGTTAGAACTCAGAGAAGTTTGCAATGACGTTTCCGCTTTTTAGTGCGTCCAAGTCAAGCGTGTCGCAATAATCGCCGGCCGTACTGCGCAACGATAAGTGCAAGAAACTGCGGCGACTAAGTTGTCGGTGAGCTAATGACTCACAGCTGAATGCCGATAAGGCAATTCATTGATAACGGTTGCGTTTTGCTTTCTCCGTCGAGCCCGTTTTAAACTCTCGAAACGCAAAAAAAATTAGACCTGCGGATGATTTTGCTTCTGTACGGATTGCTCGTGCGTTTTTGAAATCATCGCCGAGACGTGTTAAAACAAAGTCCTACTGCCTTTCGCTGTCATAACTTGTCAACTTGAAATAATCATTAGAAGCGTTTTCTCTAATTGACTTGATATTTTAATTTAATTTTTAATTACTCGCGATAATCTCTAATTCATTTCTTAATTCGATATTTTCTTTAATTTTTAATTACTTGATTTTAATCTTTTAATTACTCGCGTAATTATATACGCCTCCGTGTATTTAATAGCAAATTCAATCACCCGCTCTACACCGGATAGTTATATGGGGAAAAAATTGGTTGAATTGATGTGACGATGAACGAATCAAACGCATTTTGGCGAAAGGAAACGTAATTTCTGGTTATAAGAGCCGAACTTGCTTAGTTTGGATGAAAAATAGAAAGTTTTGCTTTCCTTCGACCAAAACACGTTTAATTGCCCATTGGGTAGACCTAACCAAATTCACTTTCCAGTATATAGTCGAGTCGAGATTTTAGTTCTACATTAAGTTTAATTAGTTCTATATTACTAGGGTCGTACCCGAGTCGAAATTTTTAATTCTACGTTAATTGTTACGTTAAATTCTACGTCTTTAATTCTAAGTCTATGTTAAATTCTACAATAAGTGCAACATTAATACTGCACAGGGAATTTAGTCCTCCGGAATCTAAATTTTAGTTGTACGTTAAATCTTCAAGTGAAGAAAACGGCAGTAACTTCCCCCCTTTGTAGCGCCAAAGGAGAAGAACATTCAACATAGAACTAAATTAGACTTAAATTAGGACCAAAACTTCTACCAGCGGTCTTCGGTATGCACTAGTTCGGTGTAGTGCGATGATCGAATTTGCTGCAAGTCTTAGATCTGTATTAATGGTCGGATCTTGTATCAAAGACCGTCTCGATTCGATCTTCAGATGTTGCACGGTTCACTTCAATGGTTACGAAACATCTGAAAGCAAACTTGAAACGATCTTGAATATAAGATCCGACAATTAATTACGGGCCACAGTCGATCGGATTTGCGCGCGATGTGCACCGTCGCCCCTCGTCCTCGTACGCGGAGCGTAACCTTCTTACAAGATCGAAGTCGTCATAAGTGAACGTGTAGAGATCCGTGACGAATCGCGAATCCTTTTTGTAATGCTTGCGCGACTTGTTGCTGCTGCCCATGGTTGCACCTATGCACCTCTTATCACGCCTAAATGTCTCTCAGTTTCTGCTCTTCCCCTCACGGGCTTATCCGCGCTGGTCCATCAGCGTTCAGCTATAATCTCGTGTATCCTCCTCTCGGGACTCTTCCACGAGTCCTTTACGAGTCCGTCGATCGTCAGCCTCGCGAGCCTCCTCACTCGCACGATGAACTTGCTTTCTCTCCACCTTGCGCTACCGGTCGCAAACTCGTGGTCTAGAAAGGATGTCGCCGATATCGGACTCGAGCTATCAACGACGCGGCCTGACCCCGAGGAGTGATCGCGAGTCACGAGACTCGCGCGCGAGACGAAGACGGCACGAGACTGCGAGGTGAGCAAGATCCTTCGTTAAGGTTTGCCAGCCGATGGAGGTGCTCGATCGCGAAGCTGGCGGTGGTGGTGGTGGCCGTTGTGGAGGTGGCCTACCAGTCTACCCGGCCTAGCACCTAGGAAGGCTTCTCGCGATCCTCCGGTGAAAGTGCCGGACGAGAGTGTATTGACTAGTGCGTGTCGGCCGCGTTTCCGCGCGTGCAATTCGCTACAACACACGCGTGGAAACGGGCGGAGATTTACCAGATGCCTCGATCGGATAAATCGAGACGGCACTTGAGTATTCAATCATTCGGCTCAGTCAGTGGCTCGCTTGGCTTATCGCTTGGCAGGCTTTTCCCAACTTGAAGATAGCGCTTAAAACGGTTCTTAAATATTTAGTGAGATTTTTGCTTTTTTCTTCATTTAAAAAAAAATATTTTCTCACTTTTCAGTCTCACTTTCTGCTGTTCCATCTGGTACGTACAAAGATGTGCAAATGATTCTGATTTGTGAGTCGTTTTTATTCTCGATAAATACCTAATTTTGTGAAATATTAGAATGCGTTAATATTTTTATTTGGTATTTCTGTAAATAATAATGTCGAGAAATTGTAATATTATCGGGCATTTGTTGAGAAAAAGAAAACAAGGAGAATCATAATTATTTTAATAATTTTTACATCTCTCACTGTGTTTCCGCGTCTCTAATAATGGACGCTGAATAATAGTGAATAATAATGCGACTGAAACTCTATTTCTTTGAGTAGATTAAATTTACGAAGTATGGAAAAGTATATATGTTCGCAAAATTGTTATCAGATGGAAAGTCGAGACGGTAATTCGCCGCATGTAGAAATACTTCGAGTTTGATGCACTGTGCAAGCTGCAACGTTAACCACATCGTCGTAACAAAAGATCGTTAAATCATCTTCGGGGTCGTGCGTAAAACGTTCCGGTTGACCAGTCATGCGTGACTTCTGACCTACGCGCAATTCAACATTCAGAGCGCGATGCACGATTCTCTCGATCTCAACGGATAGAAGTTTAAATTCGTCGTCATGTTAGAAACAATGTTGCAAAATCCGAAATGGGAGACTGGGAAGCGCATTTACAAAGCACATTTCCTCGCAACAATTATCGAGACTCTACGGTACGGTCCGGATACAACGAGCTCGGTTATTATATCACATCGCTCGCTGCACTTCGTCATTCGAAATCACCGGCCGTGTCAGGGGTTTATCAGTTGCGCGATACAAACATTGCGCAGGTCAGCTGATAGCAAATAAATATAGTGCTTTCTTTATTCAAAATCAATTCTCTCGAAATGCGTGTTGAAATGCGCACACGGTTGCTGCCAAAAATTGGTTAATTGTTAGAAAAAATGATTAAAGAAACGGTTTAAAAATTATTAAAAAAAAACAATTTAGGCGGGTAAGTTACAGTATATTTTTCGCTGTATCCGATAATATCGTTTTCATCGAAATATCCTATTGCGATATATGGACAAACAATCACAGGAGATAACGTTGCCTGTCAAACATCGAGTTCCGGGTGGAAAAATTCCGTTAAAACGCGGGAGATCTCCTCGGAAAATCTGACGTTTCCAAGATGCTGCTTTCTAAGTCCTGTTGCGCGGTTCGCTCCAAGTTCTCGTATCAAATAAGACCTACATATGCATCCGCCCACACACAGATGCCCCCGCATAGTGCATTCGATGCAAACGCGAAACCTTAGAGATACGCTACGGAATTGATGCTATTTGTTAAACATGTTCAAGAGTTTTGAACAGATAACCAGATGAAACATTGGAATACATCGAGTGGGGCATTTGAATTAACCGGGGAGAGTTTCGTTGACCTGACGGTTTTAGTTAACTTAGAATAGAGAATTAACTTCATATAAGGCAGCGAAACAGAGAGAGAAAGAGAGAGAGAGAGAGAGGAAGAAAGAGAGAAAGAGGAAGAAAAAAATGAGTACTTGGAAACTAATGAAATTGCACTGCGCGACAGAGGACGAATTAATGTATGAATTGCGGAGCAAAGAAGAATGCAGAATTCTCACAAAGTTATTTAACGACACAAATTACGACGCACTTAAACTACAAAGATTCGTAACGCCATACTACGCCATTGTGTAACATTAATTATTCTGCAATATTAAATAAAACGCGTAAACATTTTATTATTCTGCAATATTAAATAAAACGCGAAGCCACCGTAAACGTCCGCGATCCCGTTATAATTCGCATATAGAGAAAACCATCATGTAGTATATATGGATTCCACCCATTATATAGTATATATAGAAGCAACCATTATATAGTATATCTAGATTCATACATACATCCATATATATATGGAAACAGAATTGTTCATCACTCACCCGACGCTCCTCTTCGCGAGCAGCTCTGAGGTGTGACTCGATGGCGTCCAGGTCGATCTTTGGCATCGCCGTCTCGATGTTGTAAACGTCGAAGCCGCCTTTAACAGTGCGCAAATGTCAAACGTGAGAACCTTTTACAGCGACGACGAGGCGGAGGTGCGACCGAAACAGCCGAACGGAAACCGACGAGTGCCGGAGCATCGCGTGCATACGTAATCTCGAGAGGTCGAAAACTACGGTTTATCTTGTCCGCGGCTGTATATTTTGCCGGTCGCATTAAATATATATCCGTCGCAAATCCCGAATCCTTCACTGCGCTTTATACCGTAGAGACCTCTCGATAATTCAGTATCGATTTCTTCTTTACTTCAGTTTGATGCACAACGGTGATAAAAATAACAATTAATATATACCTGACCATTATTGAGTGATAGATTTATCATTGAATATTCGATAAACGTAATAAAAAACAAGTTATAGAAATGGTTAAAAAAGAATAGCATTAACGACATGCTGTTTCATTTTTGTTATACTGAAAGCAAAAGTATTTAATATTCGTAACTATAATCATCATAGTGAAAGAATTATAGTCGAGAGAATTATTTTTCTAGTAAGTGTTACTATAGTGTTAGTAACAATAACCCTAGATATATATTGTTACTACGAAATTTGTGTTTAAAATAATAAAAAGTAATAGCGTTGTCAATTTCGATCACCCGAGTATCCGAATCTTTCAGTAACCGATGCAGCTAATTTCTCGTTACAAATGATCGACTTTTCTAAAAAGATAACAGGCAATAGTGAAAATTAGTCGTCCGAAATTAGCCGTATACTCAGTTGCTGAAAGATTCTGGTATCCGTGATTGATAGCGTTAGTAAGTAACAACGACAATTATAATAACAATACTGATGATGAGAATACAACATTGAACGTAGAAGAGCCAGACCGATGAAAGAAGTATGACAAAATTTTGCGTCGGGATGTCTACCTGGTCCGTTTTCGACGTCAGCTCTGCGCTTATCGGAACGTCTGTGGGAATTGGAGAGTCGTGAATGCTGCTGCTGCTGCTGTTGCTGTTGCTGCTGTTGACGGCGCTTGGCCTGGTTCCTGGCCATCTTTTCCTTTTTCCGGACGTCCGCGCTGGACGCTTCCGGCAGCTCACGGTCCAACAGCTTATTCGTGTCCTCCACGTGGTCCTTGATGACCGTGGTGGGTCGCGGCTGAGCGGATCGTATGCTCTCGATCGACTCCATCGCGACCACGTCCGGCACCGGCTGAGCGTACTTCTCGAGGTCAACGCCGATATCCCGGCCGATGCTCGACAGCAGGTCGATCTCCTCCAGTTTCGTGTACGTCGGCCGCTCCTCGGCGAAGCCTTCGGAGTAGTCGCTGTTGCTCTCCGACTCGTCGTCGTCGGCAGAACCGCCCGACGTCACCGGCTGGCGGTTGCCTATTTTGGACCGGGCTGGGTGAGGCAACTCCTTTGCCTCGCGTATCAGGTCGATGTGCTCCACCGCGACGTCCTCCGTCTGCGCGGCCAACCGAGATCGTGCGCGCTTAATCGACCGTGTTCTCGAGTCGACGGTTAGAAGAGCGAGCGACGTAGGAAGTAGGATTAGTCGGGACCCCGTTGCAATTGTCGTGCAAATTAATCGCGGGAAGACGAAGACGCAGGGGAAGCGTTCCGAGTTGGTGCGCGAGTGGAAAAAGGAATTGCACATTCAGCGAGACGACCGAATTTCTCGATCACGAAGTTGGGGAATGTTCAGTGACAACCGGCCAGGAAGCGAATGCATTCAGGACTGGATAGTGATAACGTGATTCTTTCTTAGAGCGGAATATTCCGTTTGTGATGAAACTTGGATGAATCAAGACCGACATTTATAATCGGATCTTATATTTCAGGCCGTTTTAGGTCTGTCTCCAGATGTTTCATAGCCAAATAATGAGCCGTACATCTGAAGATAAATTTAAGACGAACTTAAATATAAAATCCGACTATAAATACCGGCCGAAGATTAAATTATAAATTAAGCACTACCTGTTATTCCGTTATTACGTTTTAAAACTAGTTAGGATTTCAAAAGCCGGTGGCAAGATCAAGTAATTTTCAAATATTCCGTTCTTCCCTCTTTGCTTTGTTCTTTTTAACTGAACTAGCTGCGCTAGTTTAAGAAATTTACATTGAAGTGCATGAAGCATACGTACGAGATCCTCACTCTTCAGTGTGTGTAAATTTCTTGAACTAGCGCAGCCAGTTCAGTTAAGAAGAACAGACCGCTTTTTTGCCACCGATATGAAAGCTAATTTTCAATGTTGGCGCCGTTATATTTGATCAGACACATCCCAATATTATCAACCCATTATTAAAAGACGATATTTGGCTTAGATGCAACAATCAAAATGTATGCATAGTGATGAATTATCGTTGCCTAGTAATTCTATTACTCGTACGAATAATAAAATTACCGAGCAACAATTTATTATTGGCCAATTTATCATAGGCAGTAATACTTTTCTGTAAAGGTTGCATCAATACAAATTCAATGAAATCAAGATGAAAAATCTTCTCGAAAGATTACAATCTTCTTGCTCGTATATGAGAACATCTCTCATTGATTTAAGACTGGTTTCTTGTTTTCGCGGACGCTCACCTCGCCGATTTCGCTGGTCTTGCTGGAGTCCAGGATCTCCTCGATTTCGGGAAACTGCAGGCTCTCGTTCACGCTGGTGGTCAGCTCCACCAGCTCGACCTCGACGGGTATTTCGCGCTCCCGTTTATCCTCGAGGGTCGCCTGCGACAGTTCGGGCGGCTGCTGGTCCACCTGATCGGCCAAGGCCTCTTCCGGCTCCAAGACCGTCAAGTGGGTCTCCGCCTCGACGACGCCGTTCACGACGACCTCCGGCTCCGGCGAGAGCGACTTCTCCTCGGACCTGGAGACCTCCACGCTCTTTACGTAGTTGATGCACTTTTCCGAAGGCGGCACCACCGACTCGTACAGAGAAGTCACAGTCTGGAACGGGAGACGAGAGCGGCACGATGATGTCACGCGTGGTACGCTCGTAGGAGTACGGCTCGATTATTTTTACGCGTTGATAACCGCCAATCGACCGGTCGCACGGCCGGTCGACGCGCGCGGCTTCACCAGTGACAAATTCGACTCGATCATAGAGAACAGAACGGAGTAGACCGCTCAGCGGTGAAGGGGAATCTCAAGCGGACGTTAAATTTTCTCGCGCCGGAACCAATCGAAACGGCCGGCCCAAATACAGCGGATTACCTGGATGTTGAACTTCGGCTTCTCGTAGAAGACCTTGCGGTCGTTCCGTTGGCCGCAGAGGTGATTGATGCTGTCGTCGACGTTGTTGTTGTACTCGTTCTCCAACGGCGGCTGCTCCTGGTGGACGCCAGGGTAGAGTGGCGGTGGCGGCGGATAATCGGAGCAGCTGTCGTGCTCGTCTTCGGTCAGGTCGGTGTCCGAGAGCAGGGAAGGCGCCAGGTGCTGGAAGCCGGGGTAGTTGGGGTTGACGATGCCGCGGCAGCCTGCCGGTAGATTCCCTTCCTCGGACCAGTCCGACCACTCGGACGGCGTTAGCTCGTGCGACGAGTTCTCTTGCGGCGAGTTGCGTCCTGCAACAATTCGCGCGCGCCGCCTCAGCATCGGCCGGAATACCGAATAATTGGACGTCTCGTTGGAACATGACTCATCGTCATCATAATCCGGCCGGCTCGTGCGCTCATCGAAAGCGTTCGCCGCGAGACCCTCGGTGAGGACAATTCGCCGCGCTGCTCCCGATATTTCTCCGGATTCCGCAGAGTTCCCCGTACTGTGAGCGATCCCTCACCAATCGGACCGGCGGATCGTTAAATTGCTCCTCACTTATTCTTCGGTATCATGAACGAAGGAAGAAAATTAGCGTCGGGATCCAAGGCTTATATTCTCACGTATAAACGAGGATGTATATAATCTTTTATGAAGATAAACTTGTTCTTAGAAATGAAGAAATTCTATATAGTTCCATGAAAAATATATATTCACGTTATTCGAGAGTAATTTTTATGAATCGAGAGGAAAAACATTAGAAAGAACGATATTCTTCGAACTAAGAACTTTATCAGTTTGCAGATATCTTTCTACACAACATTTTTTCTCTTAATTTATAAAAATTATTCTTGAATAAGAGGAACATATTTTTCGTGGAACAATATTGAATATTTTTTTCATGTAAGAGCAATTTCTATCCTCGTATACGATTATATATTCTTGCTTATACGTGAGAATATGAATCTTGAATTGATACTCATTTTCTTTCTGTGTATTTGTGCTCAGGTGTACCAGACGCTTATAAAAAACAACAACTATAAATTAACTCATGATTTGTTGTTCTTTACAGTTCAGGGAGTCTATTGGCGTTACAACACTCGCACCCACGAAATCTTTTTCCATATAGGTCACCGGTACTACGGATCTTATCGTGGAACAATATCGTCCGCAAATAGATCATTGATTTTGCGAGTCCTACGTGTCGTAGAATCTAATCGACGGGAGCCGTTGGTGGAATTTCGAGAATCCACGAGAACTCTCTCGGATCATCGTTGAACCGCTCGACGGCCGGTTACGCGTCGCGAGCTAATCGCCGCGAAACGCATACCGGCGACAATCCCGACCTAAAGTTACGATTCCGTGTTTCACGGGATAATGGTTTAATGTCAAGGATGCACGCGTTATTAATGGCAGCCGGTGGAAAATATCGAAGTTCGTCACGAGCTGTCGTGGCGTCGCGAGAGAACGCGAACGAAACCTACGACCACCACCATTGCTTTCCAATAAAATCTCGGACCACGCCGGCACAGCGTGCGACACTTAAGAGAAGCGTGACTAAAAAGTAGGGCGATCAATTGCTCAATTCCCGATAGACGCGATGATCCGCGATATTAATAGATGATTCAGACGCGCGCCTCCATCCCAGTCATCGCTCGCACGATTGATTGTTGCTCCGCGCGCTCGCCTCCCTGTTTTTCCTATCATATCCCCGGTTCTTTCTAGGATCCTATCGATCTTCTCGTTTTCTTTCTCTCGAGTGTATGTGTGTGTGTGGTCTCGTATTTACAGAGTAAAAGGACAAAATTTATGCAGTGTGAAATTCGCGATTACACGTGCAACTTCTTCGGGCGAGGGTGTGCGTGACTCGATAGCGTCAGGAGGCGCGTCGCACAGTGACGGAATTAAGCTAATTAGGCGCGCAAAATTAAAAATAAATGAAATGTGAAAGCCATTTATTATATAATATAATAGAATATCGTAAGTATGTATGAATTCGAATATAATACGGTCTGCGTACATTATTTACCAAATATCTTCTATAACGACAATTTCCGGCAGATAAACATTTCGACATAAAAACTAACTGGTATATAATATATTATGAAATAAACTTTCGACTGGATAAACGCGGATAAACAAATATAGTTTGCACTTGTCAAACGTGAAGAATTGCACTTCTATTAGCATTATATTACTACCAGCCATAATCAACGAATAATTAGTAAATTAATATGTTGAATATTTTACTCCACTTTAGAAGATATAACTAGCATAATACAACACAGGATTGCAGCATTGAAATTTCCTACATTGTATTATTGTAGTGTCAAATGAGGACTAATTCAAGGTAAGAATATGCTGCAACAGTAAGCAATGTTGGTAATTTTTTCTACTATCCTTCCGTAATCGTAATAATTATACTTTACGACTGATCTTTTACTTGGAAATGAAATAAGAGAAATTATTGCTTTTATCACTTTCGAAATTTTGAGCGCCGAGATCGGCAAAATTTATCACTGTGCGTCGCGTCCTCTCGACAGGATCGAACCGTGTGTAGACAAGGATTAATTCGGGACGAAGGAGCTCACCTTCGTAGTCGGCGAGGCTCTCGACGGAGCTGTTCCTTCGTATCCTGGGCTCGGTCAGATTGTTGTTTACGTTGGCGGATCGGTCGTCGGTCGTGCCTGATAATACACGTTACTTACTTTAAGCCACTTTCTCTTTTTCCTTCTCGTCTCTGTCGCGAAAAATCCTCTTTATCGCGCCCGGTCGATTCGGCCCATTCGTCGGCGAATGAAAGACGCGACTTGATTTCGTGGGATTTACGACCGCGACCGGCGATGGTTGGGATCGCGTGTGCAAACGAATCGGTTCACTTTATCAAACGCATAACAACACCTATTTCACGTGTCCGCCGCTGCTCGAGTCATCTCGCGTTGAAATAAACGGTCGCAGCGAAACGTAAATGGCGTAATGACGACGCGTCGGATAATTCACGGTGACGCCTCATTGAGCGCGAGAACGCGCCATTGTCATTTTGACTCAGTAACTTATTTATATACGCGTATAGAAAGAGAAAGAGAGAGAGAAAGAACAAAAATAGATGCGGACGTTAATTGCCCGCGTCACCCCACGCATCCCGCTCTATGCAAACACTTTACGCAATCTGGTGAAAAAGAGAGAAAAATCCATCCACGACGTAAAAAAAAAAAAAAAACAAAGCACGGTTCTCATTGAAAGACGTTCGTCGGCGAGAAGCGACCCGTGCGTCATCCGCGCGCGAATTTTCCGTCCCGCTGCAACCCGGTGGCGCTGACGATTTCTCACTCTCTCTCTCTCTTTCTCTCGCTATTTCCTCCCGCCTCTTCCTGCTTTCGCCTCAGAAAAACGGCGTACACACATACCACACACGAAGCGGCGACACACTCACCCTCGTAATCGGCGAGGCTCTCGACGGAGTTGTTCCTCTGTATCTTCGGCTCGGTGAGATTATTGTTGATGTTGATCGGCGGCTGCTGCGACGGGTTGCTCTGCTGCACGTTGTCGCGCGCGATCGCCAATGAAGACCACGTGGTGGTGTCCTCGGCCAGCCGGAAGTCCGCCGAGTCCGGCTCCGGCGCGACCGACCTCGGGCTCGACGCGTTCTCGTTGCGATCGCCGGTCTCGCCAGCGATGCTCGGTCCGTGCCTGCGGAGCTGGCTGCGTGCGAGACCGAGAAATGAGTCCAGGTGGATCGATACTACACGTACGTACGTACGTACGGTACCGCCGTTGGATATAACAGCCCCGTCCGTCCGTCGATACCGGGGTATAGCACGCCTACGGCCGCCGCCGAGGAAGAGGAGACGCGCGTTTATATTTATAGCGCGCTCGCAACTAGAAAATAATCAGGTGACTTTGTCGCGGATCCGCCGGAGGATTGCGCCTGGATCGTGCCTCCTTCGCGTCAAGGCGTTGTCAGACGTCAAGACGTCGCGCGTGTGCTCGACAATCTCACCCGGAGGAGGAGGAGAACGCGCGTCGGGATGTCATTCTCGGGGAAGAGAATGAGAGAGAGAGAGGGGAGGATTTGAATTAGCTTGCATCGATCAAAATGTTGGACGCTCGTGAAAATTAACGACAGTGATGATTGGATACGTCATATTCGTGATACGACGGCGGCTGGAACGCTTCGTCAGTCGCTCAGTGAAATTTCTCGACGGCGGTCTCGAGGGAGAACTCCCAGTAAGCGAGAAACATTAAATCAGTCTTTCGAGACATCGATTTTATGTGAACTTTTTTCAACATTTTGACAATATAAACTTGATAAATTTTGTTTTAAATTGTTACTTTTGATAATGTATTCCTGACGAATCATTTTGCTGTCCATACTCAGATGTTTCCCAGGTAGCCCCCAAAAACGTTCCCAAATCATCCGGAATGTGTCCAGGATACCTTGAGAAGCATCTCAGATTGTCCTGAGCACATCCAGGACGATTTCAGGACGTTTTGTGCTGTTTGGGTACAGCAACTGACAGATTTTACTGAGACGGCATAAGATTTGCTGCGTCAGCAAAATATTTGTCTCCTGCAGGTATCGATACCTTTACCTTGAATTTTCAGAAGCTGAAAACAGATTGAACCGGTGTTTACGATAAATCGAACCTCGCAACCTATACAGAGCACTTGTCCCTCCGTAATCGGGAAGAAATCACGGTAATTAACGTTCGATTCTTCCGAGATGAGAAGAGGAGATCGTCCTCTTTCACGATACCGCTCTCCGTCGTTAATAAAACACACAAAAAACAGCTGCACGCGTGGAAAATTAAGAATAAGTGTAACAACGTACCGAGCAAACGAAACGTCGGGATGCAAAATAGTGCAAGTCACGCAACGTTACTATTATCGCCTGGTGTCGCCCGGCGAATCGTCGGCGAACAGCGAAAATACGAAATAACGAGCGCGGTGACGCAAAACACCGACTAAGAACAGCGCGTCGGCGATTACGTAATACGTAAGTACGAAGTGCGGCGAGGAAAAATTTTCGACTACGGCGATGTCCGCCTTCGCAGCGTGCTTCGATCAAGACGAGATCATTATCTCCGCACGTGATCGCCGGCGCCGATTAAGTAACGCGGCCCTTGCGAGCGTCCAGGGCGATCTACGTCCCCGGGTTCTGTGCGCTACTTACTTGTTGTTCAGTCCACCGGGATGCAGCGGCACCGAGACGACGGATTCCCTGAGCCGCATGTCGGTTCCTCCGTATCTGGAAGAGAAGCCGGAAAAAAGCGGGCCTTAGTTCACCGGAAGTGGTTCTCAGCCGATCGACACCGATCTCGCGGAAGCGACGAGCTTCTCCGAACGAGGAGTTGCCTCGAGCGCGGACAGCACCCTCGTCACGTCGATTCACGAACAGCCGGCGAGAACGAGACAACAATGCGAGAGTCGCTGGGATCGATCGTCGTGCGACAACGCTCTCCCGGTCCGGCCGGCATTTGCAAGGCGACCGAGGGAAAAAGGGAATGGGACTCACCGTCCGCCATGTTGAAGCCGTGCGCAAGGGTGCTCGCGTTCCCCGCGGTTTATCGACTCGCGACCGACACCCTCGTTTCACCCTCTCCGGCCCGTCCCTCTCCCGCCGTCCGCCCTCCTCTCGCCTACGAAGTCCGTCAGGGACGGTCTTGAACGAAAGTTCACCCTCTGGGAAAATTTCCACTCTCCCCGAACCCCTCGCGCGATCGCCAATTTTAACCGTGAACCGTGAACTCCGGTAAGTTAATGACCTTCTTTCTTTTTAATTGATTGCAAATATATATCGTCACCGATTCCCAATGTGCTATTCATTTTCATCCATCTGCTCGTTAATTTCGCGCAATTTTCAAATATTATTTCCGCGTCGTAAGCGTCGTTAAAAAACCTGGAGGAGGGTAGCTCGATTTTCACGGGTACGGGAAATGAAAATTGGTGTATTCCTTTTAGCCGCACTGTTGAATTCGTGCAATAAGTTCAAGTGGAACGAGTGTATTTTGTCTCGCTCTAATTTACCGCAACAGTTCAGCAGTGCAGCTAAAGAAAAACAGACGAAATATTTTGACAAACGATTTTGAAAATGTCCGTACAACCGGTCGTTCGTTACCGCCAGAAGCCGGTCCTGTCGTCTACGTAGCATCATCTCTGTCTCGCACGTGCGCGGCAACCCTCGGGCAACCCCTAGGCACCCTCTCGACCGCCCTCATCTTGCTTTACAACCCCTCGAAGTCTTCTTTCGCGATGCGCGCCATCCTTCCGCGTGTCTTGCGTACGTAACGTACGGGATCATTGAGGAGTTTATTTTAGTGCCTCTCTTTTGCTAAGAAAATCCTCGGAACTTTTTCGAGTATCTTCATATCAGAGGTCAGCTAATATAATAGCGCGTTGAATTTCCCTTCAAAATCGTCGTCGGAAAATTCGTAGTCGACAGATAGATTAACATTTAATTGACTGATCATGATGAAAAGATCTTTGCTCTTCTTGTTTTTTTTATCGACCAATTAAATGCTAATCGATTAATATCACGGTTTTGGAACACAATGCATATTTGTAGAATTTTGTCCCCTAAAATCTCTCATGTTTATAATTCAACGTACACAGTAAAAAATTTTGTATTACAAATGGTCCATTTAAATTTTCGTATTAGTTTAATATGAAAATATGTTAAAAAATATACAAATATTTTTATATATATTATTTTATATTTTATATATTAAGTATATAATTAAATTTACATATTCACCTTATTAAAGTAACACAAACATTTAGGTGGACTGTTACAAATTTTTTTTACTGTGTATTTCCAAATAATCTAAAGTCGGTATTCATGGTCAGATTTTATATTTAAGACCGTCTTAATTTCATCTTCAGAAACTTCGTAGCCGGTGAAATGAGTCGTACAGCATCCGAAGATGAACTCGAGACGATTTTATATACAAGACTCGATCAGAAATACCGGTCTAAAGCCGTCAAATTATAACCTCCGGGCTTAAACTAGACTTCGCAAGTCTCCGAATTGTAAATTCGATTTGCTCTAAAAATCCAATTCCAGGCGAGATAATTTGCTTCGCTTCGGAGATCTGTCGATTCCGCGGAGCGAAGATATCAATAATTTATACTCGGAATTATTAATTCCAATATCTCTGGCAACGGATGGCAACTTCCACGGATTGATGATTTCGTTGGCGATACGTTGCTGGCGTAACCAGCCAGTCAGTCACGCGCGTCGATCGATCGACTCTCGGCGCGACGCGTCGCGGCGCCGCTCTTTCTGTCGCGACACTCGGAACGTCGTCGCGGCGCGTGCCGCGAATTTTATCCGCGCGAAACCGCACGGTTCGCGACGGTGGCCTCGTCGTTAACGAGATGCACCTTGTTGCATGCACCGCTGCGTTCCGCTTCGAGGCTGCTTGCCAGGCGGCTCGCACGCGGAGATACAACACACACATACACACACGACGAGATGTACAGCTACTCTCGGTCGACCGTTACTATTATATGCGGCGCCGAGGATTATACGAACCGAGAAGAAGAGACTTCAGGAGAGCGCAGAAGGAAAATTAGAGAGAGAGAAAGAGAGAGAGAGAGAGAGAAAGAGAAAGAAATAAATGTGGCCCGAATGAAAGATCAAACGAAGTGATTTAATTCTTCGAATAATGCGATGAGTTCCCAACGATAGAGTAGAGAACAGTTATTTGTAGCAAAACTTATAGTAACTTATAAGAACTATATTGGATTATCATTATTGGGTTGAATTATTGGAATATTCAGCGAATAGGAATAGTCGTTGAATACCGCGTCACTTTTAAAGATCCCGGAATAAATATTGGTGCCATCATTGATAGAATCAATACCGCTCCGGTTGTACGCCTCGAGGTTTCAATCGCTTCGCTTGAACTCGCATTAAACGTGGTAATTGCTAATTAAAGTTATTCGGCGTGATCAGCGAACGCGGACGAGCGCTCTGTGCTCGCAAGTTATCGCTACGTATACATTTATTCTGGAAAATTCGTGCTCGATATTCGGTGGACAGAGATTGCACTTGCTAGAACGATCGAAATCGCCGAAAAATGCTGGAGATCTACCGGGAGTCTTTTCGTGGATCGCGGGGAAATCAATTTTCCCCCCTTCCGACCGTAGTATATTTCGCACGCGTCAATACCAATTATTGTTTCGACCAATCGAACAGACATCGAGACAAAGACATCGAATTAAACGGCTCCATACACGAGAGAGAGAGAGAGAGAGAGAAAGAACGAGGGATAAAGGGAGAAAGTCACAAAACAAGGAACATCCCGCGAAAACGGGGTCCTTCGTATGCGAAGATTCACCCGACTGTCATCCCATCGACGGGCTCGCCGCAGTTTTCGAAAAAGAAGCTCATACGATACGACGCACTTGTTACCCACACACGCACACACAGACGCGCATACCTGCATAGGTGTATGTACCATTCGTGTGACAAGTCCTCTCTCTCTCAGAAAAGATAAAGAGAGAAAGGGAGAAAGAGAGCGAGAGTAACGTCACTTACGTTCTCTCGAACGGCGGCGAATCGCAGACGGCTCTCCTCCTGCCGCAGGACGGAGATCTTCCCTTCTCCTCTACTCCTACGGTGTCCTTCGCGCGAGCCGCCGCCTCAAGGAGCACCTCGCCGAACGCTGGTCACCGGGTGCGCGGCACTCAGGAATGCGCGCTCGTCGACGAGAGAGCACGGAGGGTCGGACCGTGCTGACTCACGGGAGAAATGCAAAAGGAAGCGCGCGGCGATGCGTTTTCGTGCGGCGCGAACGAGAGGAGACTGCGAGGCCACGGTGTCGGCGTTCAATGTCCCTCTCGCGTTTCCTCCCTCTCTCTCTCGCCGCCCGCCCGACAGATATCGTTCTCTCGCTCCAATGAACCTTCCCGTTTCTCTCCTTTTCTCCGTCTCTCTCTCTCTATCCCTCTCGCGTCCGCCCCCTTCGTCGCATGTAAGTTTCACCCTTCGCGACGAAGCGAGGGACGCAGGCGCAAACCCCTCCTCGCGGGGGTTGCCAACTCGCTTTGTCCTCTTCTCCACCTCTGCATACTACCCCCCTCCCCCCCTCGACTCCTTCAATTATCGGCACGGTGGTCGATCTTGATTCGGGACGACGCGAGTCGACGGCCGACACATCGTCGCGCTCGCCGTGATTTCATCCCCCTCGTATGCCGCGTGGACCAGTTATCAATACTAGTTTATTGAGATTAATTAATTGCGAGCACTGATCGAGACGCGATAGAGTTTCGTATTCGGATATCGCAGATTCGGTGCTAAATGCAATCGCAGGACGTGTATTTACGTACGCCGACCCATCTTTGTGTTTACACGACACACAGATAGATGGCTGCAATTAACGCTGCTCAAACGCAGACGTTCTCGCCGAGATATTCCGAGGGGAAGCAGCGCGAAGAGTTAATTACGTACAAACGTGCTCGCTCGTATGTCATCGGTGTGAAATGCAAATACGGCATTTCTGCGTATTCTGAGTAACGCGTGACGATTTTGGCAAAAGCGTGAGCGTTGCAACAGTCGACTGTGATACCGCAGTACGTTACACGTGCGGTTCATACGAGTTCCCTTCCAAGAGAATCCGAGTATACGATAGCGAACTACTCAGAGAAACGAGTTATTTATTGGAACTTGAAACTGTACAATTTATCTTTAAGGTATTACGACTAAAAATTAAAAATACACGTCGGCGTTTGTGAAATGTTGATTCAATGATACTACATTGCTCCGTTTTCATTCCATCCTATTCCTCTATTTGCGTCTATTACCGCCGGCCATTATGGTCAGTATTCGCACGAAGATATTGATCGTGTCCAGGTAGATCGAAATTGCGCTGCAAGAATAAAAGTAAAATTAGTCCCATGGTAACGACACAGGTCTCAGCTGCAACAGCGTTATATTTTGAGCGATGGTATTCATACATTCAGGTTGGTTGTCTGACGCAAGTCGTCCATCGTCAATTATATATTTGTAGTTTAGGTCAATGTGAACAAAAAAAGTAAATAATCGCGCAAAATGTTGAATTGTTAATTATTGACAAATGGTCATATATAGAGACTTCTTTAATAATTCAAAAATTCACGTGATTATTAGCAAATGGCAAAGAACTTTTTTGTTTAGAATCACCTAATCTACAGGACAGCTGTTATACTTAGCGACAGGCATCAGTACATAGAACCCTGAACCTGTCACTAGATACAACAGCCGCCGTATACTTGTGCACTGGGCCATTCTGAAGGAAAAAGTCTTTTACCATTTTGTTAATAATCACGTATATTTTTTAATTATCAACTAAAGAAGTCTCTGTATATGGCCATTCTCAATAATTAATAACTCGAAATTTCGCGTGGTTGTTTACAAAATTATAGAACTTTTTCTGTTCACATTAACCGAAACTGCAAATATATGACGGATGAGACAGCTTGGGTCAGACAGATTACATCTCATATGATAAACTGCGAAGGTTGTTCTAAAATTAGATTAGATCTGATTCGGATCTTTAACGATGAGTGAGATTCTGGACGGAGAGCAACGTTGTTTATCAAACAATGAATATTCCGGAGCAACCTTTCAATTACTCACTTGTTAATTGGATCATACGGCCTGCCATAAGCGTTGTACGACGGATGCATCTCCGCCTGCTTGATGATTCTCTGCGTGTCGTAGAGCAAGAAGCCAGAGAACAGCAGCAGGCCACCGTAAAGTGCCATGGAGTGTAATCCTGAGCCGAGAACGGTGGTCGGCGGCAAGAACATGGAGCCCAAGGCGCTGACGAAAACCACGCCTAAGCCGATAGCGAGCGGGCCGCCCATCTGCAAGAACTTATCGCTGGGCGCGCAAACGGCGACCGTTGACAAGCCACCGACAACACCGACGGTGTACAAACCCGCACGGAGGACCAGAGGTCCGCCCAAGAGGGTTAACGGTGCCAACACAGCACCCACTATGCCGGTGTGCAGCAGCCAAGCCATCTGCTTCGCGCCGATACCTTCTTCATACGGGAGTCCTTGCACGATTATGCCGCTACCGATCATCGCAGCCAACGTGACACCCAGCGCGATCCATCCCTGACGCGTTACCATGTTCATTATCGCGGGAGAACGCATGCACATGGCTGCGGATGCCGCGCTGGCTGCGATGGACATGCCGAAGTAAGAGTAGGTGGACTTCACTCGGTCCTTGACGTATTGTGGCCATAAGCTGCACGAGTGGAGAGAGAATTTTAGACGACTCTTCGTAGCTGTGTCATTGTATTTATATTATTAAATTGTTGTTGGTAGGAAAGATAAATCTTTGCAATATTAAAAATATAAGAGCCATTCAACAATTACGTCATACCACGAGGGGAAGCTATTAGTTGTGTGACAGTCTGTGAGGGGATAGAGAAAGAAATGGAATGTCGCATTAGATGGCATAACTTGTAAATGTGGACGCTGTTATCCATTTTGTTTGCATTCATGACACACTTGGTTAAATTTGGTGAAAATTTTTAAGGTTTGACATGGTTTGGTGTTAGTAATCAATATATTAATTTTTTAAATATTCATTCCTTCAAAAACACTTTTGTTAGTCAAAATTAAAATAAAGAAATTAAGTTAATACTACATACCTAAATGTTATTTGTATCTCAGGAAAGGATAAGAGCGTGCAGTCTAACAATCATTATCCACAGTATGGTTATAAGCTATTTTTTTATATTCTATGTCGACAGAAGAGGAGGAGTAACCCCACATGTTGCATAATACTTTAAGGGGGTAAATACTTTCCCCTGCAATCTGAATTCCTTTTTATCCATAAAAGTGCCTTAAGTGTAGTTTCTTAGTCAATCAGATGGTTTCTAAGCTACTTGTTGAAGCACTTTTATCAATAAAGGAGAGTTCAAAATATAGGCCTTTGTGATGAAATCGTGACAAAGGAGAGTTAGGAAGGAAAGAAGGTTAAAATATTCAAATTTAGTATAATTTAATTGTTAAATGGCCCTTAAAGGAAATACATGTCTTCTATTGACTGAAGGCGTTAGAAACCAGGAACACCATGATAGAAATATATCGCATACCTTGCGTGATCTATAGCGCCTGTACGTGAGGAAAGACCCAATCCATAATAGCACAGCCCACCCAATCCCAGCACAGCTCCTCCAGCTACCGCTCCCTTTCCAATATTGAAAGCTGCAAGCGAAGCAACATGATCAACAAATCTTACAAAGTTAATACAGGAAACTTCGTATGTTTATAAGATATGCTCGAATTCTTGGCAAAACAGCCATATAAACAAGAATGGCTGTGTTCACAGGCTTCTGATATAAACATGTACAGAGGAAAAAAATGTCTCCAACTCACCAGTCTCACCAGCCGGAGCCATTGCTTGTTCCGCAGCGGTGGTCCTCCTCCTCGCGGTCCTCGTGTAAGAGCTGCGCCCATCGCTGACGAATAATCTGGTAATTTGACCTTTGGAAAACTGCGGCCTCGTCGGGACAACTGTCTTGACGAAGGACGCCGAAGTCGGCGAGACCACACCGGCTCGACAGGCTCTCGCTAACAACATCCTGCTCCCTCAATCCTCGTTCCCTCTTCACGATTTATCGACAATTCTGCAAACGAGAGAAAAAACATTGAAAAACGCACCGTCACGTATACATGACTGTATTGATCAAATAAACGCCAGACGTGTCGTTTACGTGGGAATGTCTCATGGGGATTTTCGAAGGATTTTCACGAGAACGATCACACGTAGGTGAAGGACTCGCACGAAAGAACAGGAGCGAAACTTTCCGTAATTTACTCACATGACGCAATAGGGATGCGACTGTTTCTCCACATACGATGATCGCAACACAATGACGTCCGGACGGCGCATGCGAAACTGTGACCAACCACGACGACGAAGAGACACCAAACGGATGTCACGGCAGTCACGCCGCACCGAAAGATAGATGGAGGGGATACGCAGCCAAAGAGGAGCCACGTGCAGAATGACGAAACGATGGGCGCATGTGTATGTAGCTTACCGTGTATTTTCTTGTTATAATTTGCAGGCTGACTCAAAGTCTTCGCGATCCTCGGAGGATTTTCATTTGATTGCTCTGCAGAGACAGTTACAATTCCTTGATATTTAAATATTTTCGAACCTCTGCGACATATTAGAGTAAAATTTAAATTTAAATTTCATTGTAACGATAGAGTAAGACTTCGGCCTCTCTCTTGTATCGAAGACCGTCTTGAAATTATCTTCGGACGCTGTACGGCTCATTTCATTGGTTACGAAACATTTGAAGATGAACTTGAGACGCATGGGCCTTCGTCTTGTTGCGTAGGAATACATACATATTATGTTGGTTATAGCTTTTTTGCATTATTTTTATTGCTAAATAGGAAAGCACCGCGCGACCCGGCAAACAATTCAAATAATAAGACGCCTGCTTGCCTGCGGCAAGAGGAATAAAGATAGGAACGAGGCTTGTTTCAGTGTGAAATACACAAGAATCTCTACGATATATTTTATGATACAAACTTTTATCACAGTATATTACTTATACTGTGTTTTTACCGTGTATTCTTCTGTGATAATTTGTAGAATGACTCGGAGCCATTTATTTCTAATTTATCCTAATTCTTATGCCGCGAGCCTCGAATGATTTTCATTTGATTGTTCCGCAGAGATAATTACAATTCCTTAATATTTAAATATTTCTGTATCTCTGTGACACATATGAAGAGTAGAATTAAAATTCCGTGGTAAACTTTGTTGTAATAATAGTAAGATTTTGTCTCTTAGTTGCATAGGAGTACAGCACATTACGTTCGTTGTAGCTTGTTTGCATTGTTTTTATTGCAAAATAGGAAAGCACTAGTATCGCACTAGCCTTTTAATTCTTCATCATATAATTCACTATATAGCCGATGTCTTATCGCTATTGGATATTAATATGCCCTTAGCTATACTCGAAGAAAACAAACATTCGCTCATGCTTTGTTAAAAAATAAAAGAAAAATACGAATATATATATATATATATATATATATATACGTATATAACGTATAACTAAAAAAGATATAATAACGAACCTTGTAATTAATTACTAATCAGTTACATATTACATGTATCTCATCAATTTACTCTCCGCTGCGGTGTGTATATATTTTCAATTAAAGATTTTAACGTTGCTTAAACGACACAACTGTTAAGCGGGGTCTACAATGAGAATTTAAGGCGTGAGATTTCAGAAATCGAAACCAATCATAATTGATTTTTCTTCCATAATTCGACTGTGACTGGTCAATTTTTTAAGGCTTAAAGCTTAAAACACCTATTGTAGACCGGGACTTACTTGTGACTTAGGCCACGCGCACTTAACTATTAAGCGAACACAAAGGATTTGACATGTTTGTCGAAGTAAGTGACGATATATCTAAAACTCGGAAAACGCTTCGGATCTAAAGTCCGTATTCACTGCTAAGCATGCCCACTCCGACTCTGAGCTTCGTCTGAGGTCTGTTTCCTCTCCCTGAACCATAGCTACGCTGGAACATCGTTCCTTTTCCCTTCAACACTGAGTTACATACCCGTCTCACTCTAAACGGTAAAAAGTGTGAGCTGGTATTCAGGAAGAGAAAATAAATCTCTGGTGCCGCATCCGATCGCATGCAGCGCATAATTCAAATCGAGAACCAATTAGCTACGCTTAGCGCTGAACGAGACGGCTCCGGGAGGATCTGGGAAGCCTCGTGGGGATCTTCGTGGCTTCGACGTGGGTCGAAACCGTGAATGAATAGAAGCGGTCGCTGTTAGCGATAAAATTAAATGCACTTTATTGTCGTTTCCCAAGCATACCGTTTGAGAACAAAGTAAGATTCAGCTGCTAGGGTAGTAGGATGTATGTATCTTACAGATTTAACGCATTCGGAAGCGCTCGTGCGTGGATGCACCCGTGAGACGCCCGAATACGTTAAATTAGGGACTTAATTCTACGCCGAGATAGCATGCACCGTACGAGAGACAGACGTACGGCGAGAGACAGAGGGAGAAAGAGGAGTCGTCGACGTGTGCGAATGATATTGTGCATTATGTCGTGAGATCGGTAGTTGTAACAGATGCATTGTTTTTTTAAGTGACTACCCTGATGGAAATACTTTGCTGAAACACTCTCTCAATTTACCCCATTTCATCAATACACGGAGTTTTTCAGTTTAATTCGGTAAATTGATATCTGATATTTCAAAAATTTTTTTATTATTTTTAAAAATTATATCTTAATTTATATTATATTTCATAACATTACATTGAACTTCATGATGAAAATTATGATTTATTTTGAAATATTTATATATATATATATATATATATTTATTTACCTTAAATTTATATCTGTATGCACTTACATTTCCCTCTCAGTATCGGTATCTAGTTACTTAAAAAAAATGTATCCGTTACAACACTGCGTGAGATGGAGTGATGACGTGCGTGCGCGCGAACGGAGCTACGCGTGCCATTCGCGGATTAAGTAAAGCGCTTCCGATCGTTGTATTCCGAGCTTCTTCCTTTCAGTCGCGGATCCGTCTGTTCTAAGTTCATGCGAAGTACGAGAGAACTCTGACACCGGTAGTAACGGGAGTGTTACGAGATGGTAGATAAGTACGGGCGGGTTTGTCTCTGATCAATCGCCCTTCCTCCGTCCTAATGCGACGGGACTTACTTTTTCGGAACGTTATTTCCGCGAAACGGTTTGATACTTTTGCGTACGACGTACTTTATTGCTTTCTTAGACATTGGTCACTTATTCGTTGTCGAATTTACCACCTGTAATACCTACAACGATTTCTTTGCGATGATTTTTGTGGTTATCAGGGTGACCTTCACCAAGCTCAGATTGAACTGATTGGATGGATGAATAATAACTGGAATCGCCAACACCGATTTCCAATTTCGCAATTTGTCGTTTTAACGATAATCGAAAAGTTCACAATTTCAACCATCGAGCAGGTGGCACTTGACTGACGACGATCTTCAATCGTCGATTGGGTGAATCGAAGTTTGGCGAGAGCCATCCTCAGTTGACAAGTATTCTGCTTGTACGTAGAAAGAAAGGCAAGATAAAGATAAGAAGAGAAAGAAAGAAGTCGAGGAAGAAGAGACGGATTAATCAGAGACACTCCTCGCGCGATATGCTCGTCGGAATCCAAGATTGCGAAGAATCCTGCGAACGTCGTGAGACGTCGGAAGAGCACCGTGATCGAACTAATCTCCCTTCCGGTCCAGTCGGCGACATGATATTCTCGTGATATTCGTCGTCAACATTCACTCGGCTCAAGATGGATTTTCCGCCGCATCGAGACGGCACTTCGCGTTTGATACTTTCAGAGGTCGGCTAGGAGAGAGTTACGCGTTCACGTCCGGCTTGCTGGCGGCGGCCGAGCCGGCCGAGGTGGAATGTCTTCTGAGGTAACCGGCGAACAACTGCCGCGCCTGATTAAGTACACGAATCACGTTGTGCCGGCGGACCATCTTGTCGAAGTGCATCGCCATCTCGTTGTAATCCATCTGGTTTCTCATGACGAAGTCACGATGCTGCAGCAGAAGGGTGATGCAGAGGAACATCAGGAAGGGGTTGCCGCCGCCGAATTCGCTCGGCGGCGGCAATGAGCTTTCGCCCAGCTGATCTTCACTCGTGCCTGCCGGTATGAGATTAGTCAGCTCCGTTGCCTCCTCGCATTGTTCCTGGATAGGCTGCTGCTTCGTTGGGCTCTCCGGCACGGCCGCGTTCTGATGCCAACTCTCGGTCCCCTCGCTGTCCGACGCTGATTCGGACCTGGAGAATACGCGAGCTGTTTCAATCGAGGGTCGCAGATATGCCTGGTCTTTTGTATATTGGCGTCTCCTTGGAACGTTCAAGTATTTCACGCGTTTGAATATATTTCTTAACAGGATGTCCCACAAAACCACCTTTCCGTACTTGAACTTAGAATGTCCCAAAGAATCTGTCATGTTAAGGACATATGTTGGTTCTGGGATACTCTATATATGCGCATTGATACGAGCTATGTACGCTGCGATAATAGAAGTCACTATTATTATTTGCTTTGTTAGAATATGAAGATATTCCAAGATGTTAAAAATTATGACTCTTAATAATATACAATCAACAATGAAAAAGTGATCACGATCATAACATTTACAGGCAGATCAAACTCTTACTTGCCCATTAATGTTACGATTACACTGTTTTCATTCTAAGACGTTGATGATGAAAGAAACGAAAGCGATGTATACTGTGAAAGTTTACTCAAAAGAAGAAAAAGAATTCGACGAACTTCTACCTGAGTAAGAATGGCGAGCGGAATCTCAACAATGATTTCAGTTACTCAAGTATGTACGTTTCAGTTCTCAGGTCGACGAATCTTTGAAATCGAAAGCGCCCACGTACCTGGTGGTACGTTTGAGCAGCCTGATCGGCGTGACGGACTTCACGCCGTTCTGATCCTCCAAAATTTCACCGTCGTATTCCAGCTCCGCCTGCTCGTCCGGGGTCGTGGGATGATGTTTCTGCTGCAACGTGTGCAGCGGATTTTCCCACACGAACACGTCCGCCGCCGGGCTGCACCTCGCCAGTTCTGTGTCGGTCTCGCTCTCCACCAGGTCGCTATCCTTCTTCGAGAGAACACAGTCGCACTGCAACTCGCTGGGCGGCGACGGTCCGAACACCTGCCTATCCAAGGACTCTAGTTCCAGTCTTAGCTCTCTGGTCATCGACGTGGTCATCGGGAAGAAGTCCGTGGGGTCGTCCGGCGAGCTCGGCTCGTCCCTCAGCACTCTGATAACGCCGCTTTCGCTCGAGACACGCCTGGCATGATGAAATTTCGCTCTTGGTCTGTTCTTTTTAGCTGAACCGGCTGTTCTACTTTAAGAAATTAACGCACACCGAAGCGTTAAGCCCGCATCAGACTGCGCATTGGAGATTAAGATTGAAGTGAATTTCGTCAATTAATGCAAAGTTAACTGAACTCAAGTTTAGTAAAATTGAGCGAACTTTGCGCTGATCGGTCAAACTTCAATTCAATCTCAATCTCCGATGGGTAGTCCGATACGGGCCTTAGAATCTCGTGTATGCACTTCATATATTTCGATGTGTATGTACATTTCTCATGGACTAATTAGCAACCAGTTTAGCTAAGAACAGATCATCTGTCTCTGAATCGTGCGATCTACTTCGTGGACGTTTTCGACGAAGGAGAAAACTCCACGGGAGGAGCAACGACGGTTACCTGAGCTCGGGCTCGGCGTCGCTCGGCGTGACTTTGCTACGATTGAGGCTGGTGAAGTTCAAGAATTCGTTCAGATTCTTCACCACGCGTGCACACTTCTTCTCACCGGCGTCGTTCTGCTCGCTGTTCTTAGCCTGATCCTTGTTCGAGGTGGACAGCCTCTCCTTCAGCTCCAAGAGATTCGAGCGTTTCGTCCTGACGGGAAGGGAATCTGTACTTAGGCACTTTTCCGTCGACTCGGTATTCCTCCTGTTCTTCGTGCTGGTCAAATCGTTCTCCGGCTCGGAGAACGTCTCGTACGGCGAGCTGGATCTGAAAACAACGATTAGCAGCGCACTTAAGTCACCGTTGAACCGGTTAGAATGGATAATACACGGACTAACTATGACAATATGAAGGAAATTAAACGAAATAATTCGATCTATTGGGAAAAATCGTTTATCGCCGCTACGAATTTATGACACCCTACGTGTGTACACACTGCGTCGTGTATGTTTGCTACTCCCTAAATTGATAATCACACGATTTCCAATCTTACATATAGGCACACAAAACCGTAATAATTAGAGCCAATATAACATTATCTTTATAATTAGAGTTATTTGTGAAATTTTCAACCTTTAGATTATGAATTTACAAGATTGAAAATCATCTCGGTATATTCATGGTAATAACGTGTCATGATTATAGACCAATTCTTGGCAGAATGGACATATTACTTTTGCAACAGAAGACAACAATAATTGACTTTCTTTTTATATTTACCTTTTAAACCATAATATTGACTGACAATACATATTTGAATTGTTAAAACCAAATTCCTTCAACATTTTTAAGATACAGCCTACTTATATATGTTGAACTTCGTCAAACTTTATATGATTTAAATTTCCATACGCACAGATATGTTTAACTGTTAACTTGTTCTCCGATTCTGTAGATTTTTTTCACAGTAATTTGATAATAATTTTAGTATTTTACACTGTGAGCGATTTTATGAGCTTTTACTTTTCAACTATATCATTATTATTCATATACTAATACATTTTGTAACTCTTTCACTGTCTGTCCACTTACGATATTACTGTTCAATTAAATATATAATGTAAAGGGTGTTTCCGTTAATAAAAATTATCATGAAAATTATGTAATTTTCCGTTTTCTAAGGAATAGTACACCGCACATGACGCCGATTGTNTTTTCTATAAAAAAAAAAAAAAAAAAATCTGCTTAGATTTTCATCTCGTTCGAAAAGAGAACGAATCGACGTCGTCAAGTACGAGCAACTATGCAAACAAGAAACCTTTTCGTTTCTCCGTTAACCTCGGTAGCTGATTGTAAAGCTGGCTCCTCCGTGCTGAGGGTTTTCCGCTTCACGTTGGCGGCGATGCTGGCCGAGGAGCTCTGCCGTCTGATCGCGCAGACCTTCGTGTACGCGTTCTCACGGATATGTTTCACGTTTGGGCTCGGCGGCGGCGACGGCGGTGGGAAGGGTACTTCGGCGAGGCCCAGCTCGCCGGTCGGCGGTGAGGCTGGCAGAGCCGCCCATAAGACCTCGAGCATCCTGAGCGCGTCGTCCAGTGCGAATTCACGCTTCATCTCCAGCAGAAGCCAGCGATAGCAAAAGAGCAGATCGTCCGCTTGATGGGATTTTAAGTACGCGTAAAAGTCGGGGTCGTAATGCTGAAGACCTGCGAGAGAGAGAGAGAGAACGCATTTTCACGGTTAGTAATCGCTTTGTCGGATATATTGCGGCGGTAACGCCTCTAATTTTAGATAATAAAGCATTGACATTTTAGCCGGGGAAAGGTAGACTTCCGGACGATTGATCTGGCGAGCGTGGAGAATGACGGAGTTTATAACAAAGCTTATAAAACGGCAAACGATTCTACGATCACGGTGAACTTCTGCGCGCACAGTTTCGTTACACCTGTGCAACACCGGCCTGTTAAATAGAAAGTGCGTGTATGTGTGTGTGTGCACGCGCGTGTATGACACACTCATGCGATGCCTGCGGTTGCGCAAGCATTGAGAGGCTTCTGGAATGGCCCGAGATCGAAAGCTGGCGGAGCAAGCGAGATCGCAGGAGTGTTCTTGCAACGACGATCAGCGGCGTACCTTCAGCGAGATGAGCGAACTTGGTGGTCATAGCGATACCGTCGAGCATGAAGTTATCCTTCAGACGTCGCATAAGGGCGCACAGGCAGATGTAAGCCTGCGCCTCGTCCCGCATCGTGACGAGAAGCGGCGAGGCCAGGTCGCTCATGCCCTGGCAGTAGCTGACGCTCGGGTGATTCAAGGCGTACGTCGTCAGGATGTTGAACAGGCTCGCCGTGTTCTGGTTGTCGTCCGAGCCGCCGTAGAACTTGTGGTGCCTGTCCGTCCGGAGGACATCCTTCCTCACCATGCCGGTGACGTAGCCGAGGTCGCCGACGTTCTGGCCCTTCTGCACCAGAGCCCGCCATCGTTCGCGCAGGTTCTGGTACTCCTGCGCCTTCCTCTTCATGTAATCCATCCGCTCGCGACCCGACATACCCTCCGGGTACACGTTCAGGATATGCTTCCACACGACCTTGCGCAGACTAGGCTCGATCCCGCCGAAGTAGATGACCGCCCGTAGCTCCTTCGAGTGCACCACTTGGCCGATCGGGTCCAGGAAGCGGCGGAATTCGGCGTCCGTCAGCGACGGCCGCGGGGGCTGAGCGCTCTGCTGATGGGACGACTCCTCGCCGAGGTTCCCCAACGCACGCTGCACCATGTTCAACGTACGTTCCATCTGCAATGAGGTAATCACAAACGTCCCATATTTCTCCCGCAACGCGTAAAAAAAGAGTAACATCTATATATAACACGTGTAACATAAATATGTCAATATATGTATACAGATATAACCGTGTAAAAATAAGAAAAAAAAATGTCAATCACAGCACGGTTCCTCGCCTCCCATTTTCCCGACGGTATTCGCGGGAATTCGCGCTGTCTTGCGGTCGGCCGATAGAGCGCGAGGCACGCGAAGCATTGGACTTGCCTTATTCATTATGAGGCCGGGCAGCTTCGGCGTTTTGTAAGGAAACCCGGTTTCCTGCTGACGCGTCGAAACTTCCTGCGCATTTTGCTCCCAGTAGCACTCGCAGTCTCCGGTTTCGCCGAATGGCTTCAGGTTCACCTGCAGATAGAGGTACGGCTCGGACGCGCTGAAAGAATTCATGTTAGATCGAAGTGCTCGGGCGCACCTTGATGGGCGTATCAGCGTATTTAGATTATCGCGCTCGATCACCTGATAAACGCGGCGTCTAAGTCCCAGTCCGAGAGTAAGAACAGATACGTCTCCGAGCCATAATCGTCGATCGCACGATACGACACGGTGAACTCCCTGCGGTGCGCGTGATCAATTTTTACGGCGTGGCCGGTTTAATATTTCACGGCGTGGCGAGTGCGCCGCGCGGTAAAATTTATAGATATACATTCGCACGCGTATACGTGCTTCTGAAGAAGCTCTACTACATGGTGTGTCTGTGGTGTTGTTGCGTGTGGTAGTTTTGCTAAACGGTGGTGGTGGCGAGTTCGGCGAGAGAAGTGACACGGTGTGAATTATTAATCATTATCATGATGAATAATATGTGAAAGGTGAGAGGAGGAACTACGTTGTTCGAGAATAATTTGAAGGAAAAATTATATTCAAAAGTGTTTTCTTTTAAATTATATTTCTCTCACGATCAATTGTGCTATTCTGAGTGTGGAAATTTGTGTTTTTTTTTTTTAAGTAAGAAATCGACTGAACGAGAAAAATCACTCGACACGTGTCGCTAAGTTTTCTCGACGACGCGACTTACCCCTTTATGTCGAAAGCCTTGATGAGGATGCTTTGCAGCACCTCTATTGATGTTATTTGAGGATCCACACTGAATTTCCGGTACTCGGGCTGATGCCTGGTTTCGCATTTCTGGACAGGGGAAAACATACTTATCGTTATTCCTTGTTAATTTCACCTTTTGCGCATAAGATATAGATATTTTTAAAGCGAAGAGAAACTCGACGTAAAAGTGGGACATCAAAGTGGGAAAATTCAACGTAAAAGTGGAAGATTGTGAGTCCTTATATTGTAATAGATTTGTCTAGCTACGTCACATATGTTACATAATTGCTGCGTGATCTAATGTGCCATCGTACATTTTCACGCTGTAACGCGCGTGAACTGAAGAGATTAATAAAAGGAGCATTCCTCTGAGTGTAACACAGGTTTTCGAACAATCATACCTTAACTTTGACACGTACAGCTTCTCTGGGACAACCAAACATGTCTGCCGCCGCTGTGTGCTGTATTGGTTCAGCTTTCAAATGTGTATACTTCACGACAGATCACTAACCATCATGATCCTTACGTGTTGTGTATCTCATTTTCTCATACGTCAACAACTCAAGCGCGTCATCAAAATCAAACGATCACCACTTGGTCATAGCAGCACTAACTGATTACACTAGAAAAATTGATAAGACAAGTGAAAATTACCATTATGACTAACATACGCTGATATGTTATTAACAAAGAACATATTCCAAGCTTCCAAATAGAATGTCACTTCTGAGAGGCAAGACTGATATTATTCAACGGAGAAGTTTAACAACCACCTTGCGAATTGTTAATACCGCAATATTAATTACAATGAGAGTAGACGTTTCAAACTGATCGGGATTAAAATTCTCAATCCTTATTGTTACAACCGGAAACTAGGACGAGTGTTTCAGTGCCTGACATATCGCTGTCAGCGGTGGTAACATATCACGGTTATTAAAACTCTCTCATTGTTCCTCGCTGGTCGATTCACCGACACCGTTGAATTATTTTCGACTAACTCGGCACGATTTGGCGTCCCTTTCTTTTCCGCTCGATTGACAAACACCGCCAGCGAGATACCTTAATAATTACCGTGAAACCACGCTCAATTCACGGTGCGTGCTCCGAAGTGCAGGGAAGACGCTCTCCGTATGCGCGACGTTTCATGCTCTCGTGCTTTTTCGCTTTCTAGCTCGCGTCTAATTATACGCCGTCCGTAGTGGCCATGTGCCTCCCGTGAAAGTACGGCTATCGGCGATGCACGATCGGCCGTCAATCGAGTGAGTATCGACGTCGACGACGATCGTTGCTGCGCTACCGAACCGCGTCGCGTGTCGAGGACGGGACCGAGCGTCGTCGTCGTCAACGGTCAGTTTCTTCCAGTCGTCGCCGCGTCGCTGGTCTTTGTTGCTGCCCTGACGTCGTCGTCGCTGTTGCCACCGTCGTGACGCCGTCGTGACGCTGAGCACAGCCGACGTGACAACCAGTGACAGCGTATCCGCGCGCTCGCCGAGCGCACGAAACGTGTTCGATTTTCGAGCCGCGCCAGGAGCGGCGCGCCGCGCCTCGTCGCCACGCGCCTCGTTCGGTCGCACCGACGAGATCGAATGGAACGCGAAGTGTACTCGTAATTCGTCGAAACTCGCGTCATTTGAGAACAAAGAATCGTCCGAGCCGTTGAGTCCCACGGTGCTCGAGGATTCCTCCGACCCGCCGGTTGAACGGTTCCGCTTGAAAAAAATCCGGCTAACCTGTCGTCGAGTCGTACCACGACTTCATTCATTTTTCGTCGGGGACGGTGGTGGCTCGTAGCGGAAGTACCGGAACTAATAATAACCGAAATTCTGCTGAATCCAGGTGAATCTACGGGAATGAATGATGGGGTTCGATCTGGCGAAAGAATCGCGAGTTAAATCTATATGCGCGAGGCGAATAGATTCGGGGAACTGGATTCGAAAATATCGAAGGGATGATCGATCCTTGAGCAAAATGGAAAAAGAAATCGAAAGGTCGATTTATCGATCTCCAGGCGCACGTAGTGCGAGATCCACGGTGCGGGGGAGAGCCCAGGTAGAACGAATGTCTGAAAAATATCTTAAAGATATCAAAAAGGCGTTCTATTTTTTCTTTCAGAAATTTTTCACGCGTCTTTTAAAGAAAGATATCTTTAAGAGACCTTTTAAACATTTGTTCCACCTGGGAGGCTGCGTTCCGTTTGGGCTGCGTCGCGCGCTGCGATCTTCTATCTTTCTCTGCGGCGCGAATGGACGATATTTGCGGCGCGCCAAACGGAACGCAGCCGGAATGAACACGCGAGCTTCCACGGATCCGCGGAGGTCGCCCGATGACAGCTGATGGTTGCTGCGGACCGGTCATGTTTGCGTAGTGCCTGCGATGAAGGTGCGTCCGAGTACTTCACGCGCGTGCACGACCATGCACGCCGGGTCGACGCTGTCGTAGGAGCGGGATTTTTGCTGCCGGTGCGACTTCCTCCTCGACTGTTACCCGTGAAGGTTATGATCACCGGTGCCTCGACGTTTCGACGCCAGCACCGTTAGCACTACGCGGTAATTACCGAAATTTCCACGGCGCGTGAACGCTCCCGCGATGAGAACCGGCGGCATGCTCGACGGCCGCGAGTTCGGCAAGCGGGTGCGTCGTCTCCTGGACGGTAATTACTCCTACCGGAAAATTTTGCTGCTCGTCCTGATCTGCGGCGGCCTGCTGCTGTACTTCGGCCCGCCTGTCGCGCAGTGGCTCTTCTTCACCGTCAGGGAGCCCATCGAAGGTGACAACTATGCTTGATTTGCAGCTCATGTCGTTAGGTTATATCGCATCCTGAAATAATGCGTTAGAAAATTGAAATATCAGCATTCACTGTTTTTTTTCTGCTGTCGAACACGGTTATGTAAACAAGCCAAGAGATTTTTATATGTTCTTTTTTTAACGACCTTGGGCATAATTTGATACCTACTTGGTGTCACTCAACTGTTGCTCCAACTTTCACACTGAGACGAAGCAAAAGATATGTCATATTAATGTTGTCAGTTTATTAGGAGTTAAATTTTTTATTACTGACGTATCGAGTAGATTTAGGCTCACCAGCTATTGCACTGTGCTACAAATTATATATTATATCGGAATAGATATATATGTACAAGATGTATATAATACAACAATCTTCTTCATAGTTATGTTTTTCTCCACATTCGACTGTGATTGGTTAGTTTCTTAAGGTTTAAAACTTAAAATGCTATAGACCGACACCAATATGGCTAAGGACTGTAGGATTAAAAAACATTCCTGTTACATTGATATTAATGCACGTATATTTCCACAGCATTTGAAGATCACTGCATAAACGAGAGACTGGCCAGTTTCTACTTCGACGCTGCTGAATACAACGTGAATATTCTGCACAATCCACCGAAGGAGAACGAACAACCTTACCTGCCGTATATCGGAAATGGTGTTTTCGGCGTTCCCATTTCTCCCGAAGGCTGGCTGTATATTAAGCATGGAAGAGCTCTCTTACTGCCAGTGCAATGGCAACCGTTGATCACTCATCCCATATCCAAGGACAGAGACATGTCCTTGTATCGAGAAGCAACCGTCGTTCATTTCACTAACGGGATTGTTCACAAGTACCAGTGCCTTAGAGAGGGGTATCATATAGATTCTCAATATTACGCTCACAGAGGTCTCGAGGGGATCTTAGTGCAGAATATAAAGCTCGCTAATCCATATCTGCTCTCCCAAGAGGTAGCTTTGAGGCCTCAGGAATCGACACATTGGAGTAATTCTCACGTGGAACCGATCAAGTGAGCAACTGCGTTATTGTATGATTAGATCAGAAGCGCATTATCGGCGCTCGTTGTATCGCTTGTTTTTCAACTTCAGGATTCAAGTCGATGGGCTCAGTCACGAGTACACTTTCGTCTCCGGATTCGTGCCGCTGCCAAATTCGAACAAGATAGTGGTGGTGTCGATCATTTACAAGGTGCCGCCTGAAAGGGTGCAGGTGAAAGCGCGCAGTTCCATCAAGCTCGAGTTCTTGACGAGCATTCAGTACAGCGAGCCAATCTCGTCCGAGCAATATCACGTGGAACGCGACGCTACCAAGAAGAGAGCGGTCGACGTGAGTAGACGCGCGAAGAAGTGCTTCTCATCACGTAAAAAAAGGAAGAAATTTATTTTAAAATGTATTTATTACACACCACAGTTATTGAAGAAGGCGATCGTGCAGCAGCAACGAGGCTTGAGAGAGGAGCATGTGAATCTCTGGCAGAATTATTGGTACACGAGTCTGCGGATAAGCGACTCTAAGGCTGAGGGCGCCATCAACGGCCACAAAATTAATTCCACTATGTATTATGTGCTATCCCAGGTGTCGCGTAGCACGCAGGACATCGAGAAGAATGTTGTCATGAACGAAGGATGTTACCGAGGTCACCATACTTTGTAAGCAACAGATTAATTAAGACAATCGAGATTAACACTGGGTCATTTTTTACCAACTTGTAGATTCATTTTTTCCCATTCCTTTGGATTTTCATCACTGGGAAATCTCCTTTATTATAAAATAATTAAACAATATAAAGTCCGAGAAATTTCGGATAATTACGAGAAAAAAGATGTGTCAAAAGTAACCCGTCCACGATTCTAAGAAGGATCCAAATTGTCGCGATTCTAGAGTTAAGTTATTGCTTTTCGATCATTCGTTCACTGTGAACATTGTTTTCTCGTTCAGGGACGCGCCTCGCTTGTGGAAGGATACCACGTCTATCGACGCTGTGAACGAGATAGTCGAGGCGTGGTTAATAACGTTGGAAAAGCAAGGCTGTCATCATCTGGTAACCGGTGGCCCTGCGGCTGTACAACAAGCTATTGTGTTGAGTCTCGGTGGTTTGAGATTCAGTAATCAACATCTCGAGTTCAATATTGATCCTCAGTACCTTCATCGCGATTACTTGTTCAGGTATGGCTCATTAGTATTGTTACATTGCGTTGCTAAGTACTTCGTCTTGTTAAAATGTATTATATTACCTTCCTGTTGTGTACGTTAAGCACACATTCACTTCTACCATCGATACTACCGATTGATTATTGGAAATACATTTTTCAGACGTATAAGTTACGGCAATTTAACGCATCTGAACATATCCGTGGCAGTTGGCGAGGATAACCGTGCAATATTAGGAGTAGCGTTAGATAAGAGCGATAGTATATATTTCGGATGCGATGCTGGCTGTCTGGACGCTCCGGTTCCCCTTGGACAAACGTACACGAATTTCCCCGTGAAGTTAACGAGACCGTTAACGGCGATACTTTACATCACGTCCGATCACCAACATATGCAAGAGCTTCGTAGCGCTCTGCATGTGCACGAGGTGGATGATGGTATGTATGAAAACACAACGTATTCGAATACTTTCGTTCGAGTGTCTTATAGAACTAAGAAATGTACGATGACGAAGTTATTAAACACAGTTATTAATTATGTGTTATGTATAGTGTATACAGGGTGTTTTTTCGAAAAGTCTTGGAATGGTCTAATACTTCAGGAAATAAATATTTTATAAAAACATAAGATATTTCATATCTTATGTTGAAAATTATCAGGATGAAATGTAAAATATCTTGAAAAATATTCACTTTTCGACGAACTTACTATAGTAACTTTTATATACAGAATGATTAGAGAAATTGATTTATGCTAAACAAACTATATGATTACGTTAAAAATATTCAAGTTGACCTTGGCAACGTCATCTAAGGTGTCAAACTGTTCAGACCATTATATGGATTATTTTAAACACTACAACTTTTATCTCTCTTTTTTTTTTGTGAAATACATTCTGAAATATCAGATTGTTTTGAAACTTTTCGAACACTGCATACTATTTATCGTATATATATATTGTTATTGAGGTGTTATCTTATTAAATGTAACTAATTTTAACACCGAGATTCGTACTCTCGATATATCCAAGTATGCGTTTGTTCTTGTAATGCGTTTTATTCTTTTCAGCGCCCGCGCACGATCACCAAGTGATGGCTCTGCACAAGCACGGACATCAGCTGGGTGGTTTGCCCACGTTGTTCTGGGTTAGCATATCTTTTCTGATAATAGTGTTCCACCTGTTTCTATTTAAGCTGATTCTTACCGAGTATTATGGCCATCAGGATCGGCAGCGAGTCCGATACAATAAACCGTGATAGGACTGTACATAATTTTCCTATCGCCGCGATATGTACATATGTATATTGTTGCGATGTGTACATATATATATATATTTTTCAAACTCATCGTGTGTATACCAATTGTAGAACGTTGTGGGATGTGTGTGTGTGCGTGCGTGCGTGCGTGCGTGCGTGCGTGCGTGCGTGCGTGCGTGCGTGCGTGCGTGCGTGCGCACCGGTCTTATCGCGCAAATCATATTTTTATAGCGTCAACCGAGAGTGAATAGAATACATACCCTTTCTCGCGAATGTAAGTTATTTTTCTATGCGACTACATGGCTGAGAATCGGGAGTTGGGGTTTCATTCCCGCCGCTGATAGCGGCTATCTATCCGTCAGTTTATCCATATATACTACATTCTACATACGTTCGTGTACATAAAGCTTGAAATAGCGTTCGTATTTAACGACGAATAATCGCGATCGCGACTGAAGCCTCTTGTTTCTGACCGATGTAACGTTATATTCACGAGATTAACCGTTGAATAATCGCGCAGCTTTCATAGCAAGGAATATGTTGTTATATTCCTCGCTATATAACAATATTATATAATATTATACAATATTATATAATATTATATAATATTATATAATATTGTTGAACGTGTTTAGCGTTGAACGCGCAACGGGATTATAGAGTGTCACAGGGAGAGAATTCGTTATGATAATTTGTCGACAACATTTATTATAGAATATGTTAAACGTATAATAAATTGTACTACAACGTAATTGAACGCGTACATAATCGATAACAAACGTAGGATGGATATCCATCAGAGATCTACGCACGTTGAGTGATAACTCGGCTAATGGCGAGATAATAAACACGATTGAGTGTATATCTTGGAATAGTCCGCGAATGGCCTGTCATTGGTGGATCTTCATCATCTTTGAAGATGCGATGAGTAACAGTGATTGAGAATTAATCCTCACTCGACCGGCATTTTTATGATCACGATAGCTTTGTGACAGAAAATTGAACGACTGATCAAACGACGATTCTTCTAGACGTATTTGTGTAAGGTATACTTAAAATTGTCACTTTTGAAGAATTTGGAACACCAAATATAGCTGTTGAGAAATTTCAGAGTAAAGTAACTTGTAGATATTTAACCGTGTCGAACGAATGGAAGGATATTTTTTACATTTTTAGGCGAAATTGTTCTTTATCTTTTATCCGACGATATTTTACGAATGAAAGGAGCGCATATCGGCCCGTAAATTCATATCCATTAGTCTGAATTCACAATAGGTGTAATAAGCTTTTAGTCTTTTGCTCTGGGGCCATTCAACGATTACGTCACGCATTTTTTATTCCCTCCCTCTCTCTTCGTCACATTTCTTCACAAAGGCCCGTATTTCTTTTTTATCGATAAAAGTGCTTAATGTTTCTTAAAGGTTTCTTAAAGGGTTCTCTACAAGGCTATCAAATGATTCCTAAACCACGTTTAGAAATACTTATACTCATAAAAGAGAGTTCAGAATATGCACGTGGAATTATTCCTCTCTCTCCGTTGACATATAGAATAGGAAAAAAATAGCTAATGATTATATTACGCACGGAAAAAAAATTAGTCTTAAATCAAGAATATATATTCTCATACATAAGCAAAAACATAATCTTCTTAGGAAACTTTAGTCTCGATTTGATTGAATTTATATTGATACAAGTATTACTTGAACTCAATTTGAAATTAAAAATCTTCTAAGAAAATTATAATATTCTTGCTTATATATGAGAATGTCTATTCTTGATTCAAGACTAATTTTTTTTCTGTGCGAGTAATAATTATTAGAGTGCAGCTACTATTTTTTTCTAAAATAATTTTCAGGCACAATATCATAATATCAAATTAACTGTTAATAATTATTTTATAATTTTGACTAGTAAAAGTTGTGTTTATAAAAGAATAAATATTAAGAAATTGACATTTTGATTACTAACACAAAACTACGTCAGAATTTCAAAATTTTCACCGAAGGTAACCAGATTTACCACAAATGCAGACAAACTGAATAACCACGCGTATTCATATTTACAAGTTATGTCATCTAATGCTTTCCCTGCCATCACAGACCGTCACTCAGGCTAATAGACTTCACCCCCTCCCCCCGTGGTGCAACGTAATTGCTGAATGATCCTTTTAAGCAGTGGAATGTAATTTCTGACAAAAGGCGTTTCCCGCGCTGCCAAAAGCTGCAATAACGCTTAAATTGGAACGCGGTAGTGCTGGAAAACGCTTTTTGCCAGAAATTACGTTACAATTTGCTACTTAGAACAAAAGGCTGAAAGCCTTACTACACCCACTGTGGATGCGAATTTAGGTCAGCCAGTGAGGATTAACGACGGTCGCGAGCTTTCCGAGGAACCAGTTGCGGGATAACTGGTGATACAAATGCAATCAGTTTGTAGCTCGTATTACTGCGACTTTACGGTGAAGTAACCGGAAACGCGGGGGGGATTCCTGTACACGTTCAACCGATGGGCGACAAAACAGCGTGTTATACAGGTCGCGACGACGCGAAACAATCGTCGTGCGGACACGCGCTTCGCTAAATTTAAGTTCCTTTATTAATTGACGCATGTTGTTCGCGCCGCGTCGACGAGACGCGCGACGCTTTAAAACGTAGTCTACAACGGGCAGTAGGACTATGTTCCTAAGAAACGAGAAATCTGAAATTCGCCGATCATATTCGAAGGTAAAGGGAATAATCGACCATGATTGGTTAATTTTTTACTCTTACTTCTTATAAACATACTCCCACTGTTCATTGTGAACCACGTTTTATGCAAGAGCCGCTTACTGGAGAACTCTCGCGTTCGTCCGCGACGCGGACGGTCGCGTGAATCGCCCTCGTTATCAGTCTAAAGTTCGTTTAATCTATTCGACGATACTTAATGATACGTAGCGAGATCGCACCGAGGAAATTAACATCGCTGATTACTACTACGGTCGCGGTGATGCGTGTAAAGCGTAGTCTACAGTGGGCGGTCGGAATGTGTGCGTAAGAAGTAAGAATAAAAAAACCGACCAATCATATTCGAATGTAAGGATAATAATCGACTATGATTGCTTAATTTCTTTACTCTTCTTTCATATAAACACACTCCTACTGCCCGTTGTAGACCGCGTTTCATTTCTTTCGCTCTTTAGCCCGGAAATGGATAGGCGACGAACCCGGGACGCGCCTGTGTGAAATACCGTTGGAAAGCAATACAGAGACAAGTGAACACAATTAGGCCACCGAGAAGGGAAAAGGGAATACTGACGACTCGGTGAGAGGCTTTGGCTTTGACCGAGAGGTAAGTAAAAACGCAAATGTATCGTATCCTTCAAAATGAAACGGAGTCTTCTCTCATGCGAGAGCGTAATAGAAAATGCACGCGCGCGTTTCGGCTTCGAAGAATGCCGAGATTGCCGCCCTTTCGAATCTTTTACGGTATCGACTCGCTTTGCTGGTTCTACCAATACCAATAAGTGCGATAAGTCTTGAGCCCTTTGCCCTGAGCGATAAAATGCAACGAAATTTCTGGCAAAGGACGTTTCCCGCCCTGCCAGTAGTCGTAATAACGACGCTTAAAGGTGCCTTTCACGCTGACGCTCGATGCACATTTTTAACGGCAAAATCGGTCGCGTGATCTAAGTTGCTATTAGATAAACGCATGAAAAGAGAGTACAGCAGAGTCGAATTTTGAACATTACAGCATCAGTCTCGTACAATTTCTCTCTGAGAATTATGTCATTTCGAAGTGAATATTAAAAAGAGGAGCACTGTGTAGAAAAAATAATAGTAATGAGTAATATAAAATTTGAATATCCAAATTAGCAGTTTATATTGTATGACGCACCGACGAGGTAATATTAAAGATCCTCAGTCTGGGTAAATTTTCGTACGAGGAAATGAACTCCGAGGGCCTGAAGGTAAATGAAGAAGGATGATATTATCGGCCATTTTTAATTATTCGATATGAACACCTATTCACTATGCAATGAAATATTAATTTTACAATCTACATCTATCACGATGTTTTTTTTATTGCTATGTATACAGAAGACGTACAATGAAGTATATTAGAGATTTTTGTGAAACTACATTTTTGCAATTATCATCTACGTTGATTTTACACAAATTTACCGACAAATTTGTCAACTGGATGTTATTGAACAGAGAAATCTTCCTGTACGCTAAATCCCGTAAGGTCAATGGTCTTTAATATAATATTACCCCATCGATATGTAAAGAAGCTAGGAAACTAAAATCCAACTTCTTTCCTTTGATACCAACGTCAGATTGAAACCACGTGAGAACGTTCAACGCTACAATGAGCGTCTCATGAGTTGATCTCAGGCAACGTAACGTCTAAAATCGGGACATAAAACGTTTCTAAGATGTCTTTCAGATATCTTGTGTCCCGATTTTAGATGTTATGTTGTCTGGAGTACTTTGAATCTTGATCATTGCGATGTCTGGAAACGATTTCTTTTTTCTACAAATTATGTTACAATTTAGTTTTTCGAACAAAAAGCTAAAGGCTTACCGCACCTGTTGTGGATTCGGACTTACGTTGCCGCTCAGTACTGCAGTTTCCCTTCGTGCGAGGAACGCGTGCCGATTTCGCGACGCATTATTCTACATCTGCGACGCAACGGGCAGGCGATACCCGGTTTCACGATCGAAACTATCCGGTATCGAATTGGCGACACGTAAGTATTAAAAAAAAAGGGTAACGCAACGAGGCGTGATTTTTCTTAAAGTTCACGGGGTCGTCGTGGGAAGATTCGTGGTTCACGAGTCTCGCGCTCTTCGCTCCCTGTTACAACGATGTTATTTACACGGGAAACAATACGTTACGCGCTAAGGTGTACAATTCCGGAGAATCATTATCTTATTTGATTGCCGCGGCATTTCGCCGATATTCTGACATGGCTATGTACACGCGCGACTTGAACGTTTCCGCTTGAGAATCTTAGTTCTTTGTGCAAGTTGCAAAGTCGAACGGAGAAACAGTTCGGAGCGCGGTAACATTTAGCATTAAATATAATTACAGATATAAAAAGTAATCCTACGAAGCTTAAGTGACATTACACTCGTAACGTGGAATTCGAAAGGAACCAGTTTTGACCGTTTAGAGATTTATGTAATTCAAATCTCATCCACGAGGACAAATGTACAGACGGCTTTTTAAAACCGTTGCCTTCTCTCGTACTTAACATCGCACACTACGTATATATGCATACAGAGAATATTTCGTAATTACAACTATATAAACACTTAACTGGCTAATAAAAACTCACAAATACAAACGATAAGTCGCATTCCCGAGATATCCGAATTTTTCATATCTTTTTATATAAGTTATCTTTAGATTATATGGATTATACTTTCGCTTCGGTCTACAATGATAACATCAATGTCATCTTTGTTGTTATTATGTTGTAAATGGCTATCAGCCTGGAAGAGGGGAAGTTTCTCATATATAATTATATATAGAATATGCCTATATATAAAATATATAATTATATATCATTATATATAATAATATATCATTAAATTTAACTCATTATATATATTTATATATAATCATATATAACTGTATCACCACTTCATATATAATTAAATATTTTTATGTATGGACATATTCTATATACATCATGCTTTATATATAATTATATTTAATTATATCTAATTATATATGGAATACTTTTTCCCGGGAGGTGCACGAGCTTCCTTCTAGTCGTCAATTTCAACATCGATCTTATTATCGTTCCGATAATTAGGAAGGAATGGGAAGAATTTAAGTGGCGAGTGAGATTTTCAACCTTACATATTGCGTCTATGTTAGAGTTACGTCTACGTTAAGAGTAAGATTGAAAATCGTAGGAAGACGATAATCCAATGTACACTCAATGCACACCGACTAACAATAACATGGATATAATGTTACTGTTAGTTAGTATTTACTGGGAAACAAATGTTAAGGTATATATGATATCTGATGTATTATATATAGAAGAGAGCGTACCAAGAAGATTGCTCGTCGTTTCAAGGGCCGTAAAATATGCAATAATATGTAAGCAATAAGATTAATCAATTAACCAATTGGATTCTTACAGCTCGAGAATAATCGATTGTATTTGGTCAATTAGCTTACTGCTTATAAATAATGAGATGCTTTCGCTTGATTTTGATGTTTCTAGAAAATAATATAATTAGTTTTTTTGCGAGATTCTTCAAAAAGTAGGAAATATTAGACAATTGCAGATATGTACACACTGAACTCCGCGTAAATTATTTTGTTTACCAAGTCAGAAAGAAGGAAACGATATAGTTTGCAGATAATTATTTAAGACCTTTTCAGTCTGCTTTTATGATTTATACATATTATTAGCCAGTTAAATTTTCGTCTATAATGCCGAAACATTCTGCATATCACGTGTTACATATATATTACGTATCTATATCTTTCTCTTATTTACAAAATGCATCTCTTATCGTATATCGACGTAACGCGTTTTGAGAGATAACGTTCTCTCTCGTTTG